AAATTGACTAAAATACAAAGTTAAACTTTGTACTTAAAATGTTTGTTAAACTGATTTACTTATTAAAATAAGTTCAAGCAACATCAAATATTTATTGTCTTGACTTTGTCATAAAATCTTTTAGAGTGTACTCTATAGCAGTGGTCCTTAACCTTTTTATCACTGTGGACCCGTCAACACTTGACATTTTTAATGTGTGTGTGTGTGGGGGTGGGGGGGGTGTTGGTGATAGATGGCTAGACACTAGGCGTGGGCTAGGCGACCATCAACCGTTTTCTTAAAGGAATACAAGCTGACAAAACATTGCTGTCATTCTGATACTAAACCAATTTGTACCAATTTTACATCGAACAATGTCTGATGTAAAACATCACGATGGATGATGGCATCATTGTCATAGGAGGCAGTGAATAAAATTTTTATGAATATTCATAACAAATTAATTATTTGTAGCCTAGCGTTTTAAACCTGACCCGCATTGTCTTTGTTTTCACTCATAACCAAATCATAAATAAATGAAGATACACACAAATTACCACCTGTCAATCACTTTTTCGGCAGGACTGTAGCATGAATAGGCAGATCAATCTGTGTCGTTATAATGTCGTCGACAAACTTGGCTATTAAAATAGTTGCACAACCAACAGGAACCAATCAACAGAATCTGAGGTTTTCACAAAAATGACTAAGTACAAGCGTGAAAGCAAATGATTGAAGCAGTGTTTTGATGCTTTGACATGTTACCTGATAGATTTAAAAGACTGAAGAGTCGTTAGATAGAGACAAGATTGATTAAATATCCCCACAATCCAGCGGGACATCCTTTATAAACTGTCCAACGTGCACGGTTTTGGAGCTTAGATATGCGCATATACTGCTGAAGCGCATGCCAGTGTGTGTATGTGTGTGTGTGTGTGTTGGTGTGTGTGGTCACGTCATGTGTGTTTTCAGCGGTATAGTGTGAATGGAGAGCTGTTCAGAAATGCTAGGTAAAACACAGTGTGGACTTGGATCGTTTTCATTCTAAAATGGCCTTTTTAAACTAAGACGCATTAGTGTAAACAGGGCTTGAGTGTGTGTCTTTCGTGAGTGGGTGGCTGCTGCGACGGGGGTGGGGCTAAGGATTGGGATGCCAGCTCAGCATTGTGATGTTCATCCTCATTGGCTATGGACGATGGCATAATTTATCGACCCAACCCTATCTGATACAAGTTTTATTAAAAGTAAAAAATGACAAAGCACAGCAGTGTTTGTGTGTTCTGTGTTTGTCTGAGGGTATTAGTCTACTGAAATGTGTAAATTCAATACCAGATGAAGCTGATTAGTCAATTCTTGTCATGTGACTCCCGATGCACTCGCGGGATTTATTCAACTGGGTGCGTCTGGTCTGGAAGGCGCAAGCGTGTCACGTAGCTTGTGCACACAAGCCACGCACCTCTATTGTAGATATATACTCCATCCTCCAAACTCTAGAAAAGACACGATATGCGATATGCCATCATTAAGGATCTCCATCAGTTGGTCTTCTTGCACAGACATCCTGGATTCACCTGATTTATTGACAAATGGGTTGCAGATCTATTCCTTGGCCGTTTGTGGGTCCTTCACTGGTCATTTTCCCCTTAGCAAAGAAACAAATTAAAAATAATATATAATTAAGTGAATAACTACATAAGTGAATACATAGTCTGATTGTAGCTATATTAAAAAAACGATAAATCTATTATCGTCAAACAAACAAATAAGCAAGTAATAGATAGTCTGCTTTGGGATAAAGTAGCAAAAATTACAATTCACGTTAGTCCCAGCAAGTCCTCTCACAACTCCTTACTTTACAATCCAGTGGTGTCTTTGGTCTAGAAGATTTAGCTTGACTCCTGCTGCTCGTCCTAATGCATTGGGTCAGACAGGAGCTCTGTCAGCAATGCTGGAGAGCAGAGCTGAATCTGAGGAGGCGCAGAGCTCATTAAAACACATTTGAGAGACACGTCTAATGTCTCAAGCATGATGGGAATGCAGAGACTGTCTTCGTACAGACCTCTAATTCTCCACAGATGCTGTTTTTTTTTTTCTTACCTTTTTCTTCCATTTCTACTTTTTACCTTTACATTTATAATAGTGTGTTGTAATGTCACAAAACAAGAATTTATAATTTTAATCCAAATACCTTCAAAAATATCGAATTTTTGATACTATGAGGTTTTATTTACTACCGGTCAAGATTTTCACCTACCGTAAAATACAAATACTGTTGTTTTCCTTGTTTTGAATCGTGGGGTTTTAGTAAATTACACCATGTAGCATTGTAACACATTTCTTGAAGACTTGAAAATGAGAATAAGTTATTATATATATATATATATATAAATATATATTTTGCTTCTCAGGCTCTACAAATTGGTGTGTCTCAGAGGCATCGCTTGATACCATTTACTGGGGCACCTGCCTGGGAAAAAATTGCCAGGGCCCCAGTAAATGCTTTGAGATACAATTTACTTTATATGCAAGTGTATTTGTTAAGAGTGGTAATCCCAAAATAAAGTTATTATTCACTATGTGCAACCGAACCAACGCTGATGAAAGCTAAATAAAAAAAAAGTTAAAAAAGTAAAAAAAAATATTAAAAAAAACATACCCCCGCAACTCATGCAACGCTCCTGCTTGATGCTGCTCATGTGTTGTGAAACGGGCCTAACAGTATTTTATGCTGAGGTGTCGGCACGCAGTGAGTTTTGCAAGTCGACAAGACAAAGTTTAAATAATATGATGGTGATCTTATTTAGACTGCATGGCTCCTGATAGATTTTTTTTGGTATAAAGCAGAAAGGAGGGATAAAAACAGTGAGGTTAGACTTAATAAATCTAATTTTCATCCATGAGTCGGGTCTAAGACAACGCACAACAGATAATTCTATAAAACATCTTTTTAGGATTCTATTGAATTGTCTAAAGAATTGCATTCTAATGAAATTAATATTCATGCAAAAGATTTCTTAAATTGTCTTAGCATTATTTCAGTTGTGTCTTTTGATTGTTTCCCATTCACATTTAGGATTCATTTCTGTTCTTTGTTTACAATAATAATTGTATAATAACAGTTCTGTTAATTATTCATTATTGTTTATATATTATATTATGTGCCCCAGTACAATAGAGCTATATGTCTAACAATGCCTCTGGTGTGTCTGTTAGAAAAATATAGATTTTTTAACACTTTATAAACAGTTTTGTGTGACATCTGGGCTGCGTCCAAAACCACCTACTACTCAGTGGGCACTGCATTTGAATTTAAACGTACTACTTGGCCATAAGAAAAGTATGTTCTAAACAGTATGAATGTTAAAAGTATGAATGGAATTCAGACGTACTACATCCGCCATTTTGTCATGGTCACGTGACCTACCTGTGTCAGTTGCGTCGCTTTACTCTCATTCATAAATTCTCTCATGGGCATCATGGGATAATGCAGCATGCATGGGACGTGCACTCCAGAATCTCGCCGGAAATAGTAAGTCATCCGGATACTTCTCGCTTACTGATTTTCAAATTATATGAATTCTGACATACTACTCGGCTCGCATACTGATTTATGCGTACTATTTAGTATGGAAGTATCCGGTTTCAGATGCAGCCCTGGTGAGAGACTCCTGCCTTCTTCTTCTCCTAATTTCAAGATGCTTTTTTTGTGTACTTATCGCCATCAGCTGGACAGGAGTGTGAAGTGCGTGTGCAGTTGGAGAAAGATAAACAAAACACAACCCTGTCAAGCTGATAGTACTAAATGCACCAAACAAATGGCAGTGATTTTTTTTACATTTTTGTATTATCTCTTTACAAGTTGTAAAATAAATCTGATGTCGTTAGATTGTGTATGTGATTTTTCAGCTCAAAATACTAAACAAATATTTTTTAATAATCTGGCACTTTTAGCCCTTGATCCATCGTGTGCTGTTTTGATGACTGTTGCTTTAAATTTAAATGAGATTTTACAGTTAAAAAGTGGAGCTAATAACACCTATGCATCACCTTAGCAACAGATTCAAAACAGGACTAATGTTATCGCTCTCAAAAAAACTGAAAATGTCAAAAGAAGTGGCTCAGCAGAAGGTAATATTTGGAGACAACAATGTTCATCTGTGCATCCTACAACATTTATAGTTTCTGGCATTGTCTTCAGTGAGAACTTTAATGGCGGATAACTGCTTCTCACTCAGGGCTGTCTAATACTGCTAATAAGGAAGACATTGTCAATAGTTGGCATGGCTTTCCATCTCTGATGATATGTACAAAGGGAAAATGTCTATCAAAGTGTTTCTAAAGACAAAAAAGATGTTTTTATGAAGTCTGAACTCCTTATAAAAGGATTTTTTGCATAATAGGTCCCCTTTAAGGAATACAGTAGAAACTACTAGCCTGACTTATAAAGTTAAAACATTACAGAAGAAAATTACAAGCGATAACACAACAGATATACAGGTAAAAACTATGCTTAGTGCTTGCTTTCTTCTTGTACTTCTCTAAAACTGTGTCTTTGCCTTTTGTTAATGGTGAATGGTATTGACTACTCTCACTTTAAGAAATATCTTCCTCCATTGTTTACTTTCACTTTCTAATGTGTTATAAAGAAAATTCTTTTGTCGTTATATGACAAATTAAACATTTTAGATGTTTGTTTCAGTCTGTTAGTTTTAAGGATATCTATTAGCTAGTGTGCTCCAAAACAGTGACTAAATTAGCATTTAGAAAATATAAAACTGATATAAACATCCAATGCTTTTAGTTTGTCACTTCCGCTTTAAGATTAAAGCATTAAAAAATACCAAGTGAGAGAAAGCTACAGGTATCGATAGTGCCAAAAAGTTTCGTTTCAAATGTTTCACTATCAACACGTGTGGAAATATCAAATATGAATGCTTTTCATCCGTGTGTTCAGCTCTATTTCAGTCCTCGTGCCTCTGTATTGATGTTTTTGTCTGTTGTCTGTGGGTGTTTGTTTTCAGTTGGGACGACAGCAGTTCGGTAAGCAGTGGGATCAGTGATACGCTGGACACAGATGAGCTCAACACCAGCTCATCCCTCAGCTCTTTCGTCAACACCCCGTCAGGCCCGCAAAGAGACACTGATGAACAGGTCAGTCACTCAGAGAGACTTCAGACAGCAACATTAAACAGAAACACAAACATCCATCCATCCATCTATCCATCTATCCATCCATCCATCCATCCATCCATTCTTCCCTCCAAATAATGATATAAAATCAACAATACTAATACAATAATATATAACAGTAAGGTTACAGTAAGTTTCAATAGGTTAATGTTAATGTATACTAACATGAACTAAGAATGAACAATACAGCATTTATTAAGCATTGTTCAAGATGGACTGACAGTTTTTTTTTCTGCATTGTGTGTGTTTTATCAGTGCGGGTGTTAAGTGTGTGACTCAGCTCTGCTCTGCTCATTGATCAGCTTTATTAGATTGGGGCAGGTTAACATATGCTGAGCAAATGTGGCAGTAGTAAAACTCAGATACTGTACTCTTCAGCACAATCAGCTCTGAATACAGACGTGACACAAGCTGTGCTTTACCACTACACTTGGCCACACCTGGGCTTTATTGCTTTATTAAATGGTGTATCCATGACCTTATTCTTCTACAATCTCACAGATGTTGTTATTGATCTTAATATGACTCAAAAGGCCAGTGGTATTTTAGTGTTGTGGACACTATTATAGTGTAAACTCTCAGAAAACAAAAATGGTACAATGTTGTACCAAAGAAGGTACAAAACCTTGTCACTGGGGCAGAACCTTTGTATGAGACAGAATTGCACCTTAAGACAAAGAAACAAATTTGTAGCATTGCAGTTTTCACCTTTAAGCCCATCATTTGTACCATGGGAAACCAAAATGTATCTTTGGTCTTAAAACCTATAGATATAATATTGTGCCTTCACTAAAGATACAAATCTGATCCATAAAGGTACCACCACAGTGGTAAGAGGTCTTAAGAGGTATTTTCTGCACCATTAAAGGCACAATGTTTAAGTACAAAACTGTTCCTCAAGGAGCATTATGTGTACCACTGTGTACCTTTTTTTCCGAGAGTGTAGGGAATTAGATTTTTCAAGTTTTATACATTTTCTTGTGCTTTGTCATGTTTATCATAATTTTATATTTCTATTTAGTGTTTATTTTTGTGAATTTACTATTTATTTGAGCGTAACAGGTTAAAGTAAATGAGAAAGGTTGCTTTGTTATAAAAAAAAAATAATTTTTATCCATTGATAAGTGGTTATATATGATGAAAAAAAACTTTTGTATTTATGATCAAAAAAAAACTTTTTGCTATATTAATTTGATTTTAGATTTTAATTAATTTATTTATTATAATAAAATATATATTTATAATTATTTTTGGAATTAAGTTTAATTTCTTTTTAATTTGGTGCTATATTATTGTTAATAAATGTATTGTTAATACATTTATGAATGTATTTATTAATTTGGTACATTAAGTAAATAAAAAGTAAATGAAATGCCAAAAAGAAGATATATTTTTGTTTTTTTATTTTATGAGGATTGTTTTAAAGGTTTTAGTATTAGCTAAACGTAATAACCCTGCAAGCAACATGGTTTAAAATGCAAAGAGTTTCAAGCCGTGACTCAAAAGTGAATGTGAAGCCAAACATCTGCCACCTTTCACTTCCACACCCTTGTACTTTTTCCCTATATCGTCTCCCTCATTCTTCAGCCTGGAGTGGAGGAAGGATTTATTGTATCGGCGTTCAGATAACAATGTTTTGGAATTGGCCTGATAACAACTGGAGGTTATTAACATTCCTTCTCTGGCAATGATATTTTATGAGGATTTGCAGTAGCAGCTAAACTAGGGTGAAGTCATTCTGGCCTCATGTAATGGATCAGTTTAGTTTTTGTCTCACATAATCACATTTATGATCGTGTCACTGAATAAACAAGGCACAAATTAGCTGTCGGTGATCATATTTTATTTTAGACATTGCTGGCAATATATGAGATACTGTTTTTTGTTTTTTTAAAACAACTTTGTAGTACTTTGAGGTAAAATTATCATATTGGCTCCAAATTCTTTAATAATTGTTTCCAAAATTAAATAACTGGATTTTAAGATACTGTTGTTCTTTTTTTTTTACTTAAAAAAAAGTTTTATGAACCTTTTGCTGACAGCGATGAATGTTTTCGCCTGATAACAGGTTTTGATCTTTAGTTTCATTCTTTAATACTGGACTTATTTTTCATCAAAGTTTGAACTTTGAGAATGTTGAAACAAGAAAGAAAAGTGTGTACATCTTAATGTATGTCTGGGAAATGTGTATAAAGTATGTAGTGAGCTTACAGCTTTAAAACTTATGTAACAATTGTAAAAAATAAAGCGAACTACTTCGTGGATTTCACTTATTGCGGGTTATTTTTGGAATGTAACTCCCACGGTTAACGAGGGATCACTGTAAATATCTTAAAATACAACCATCAAATAAAGTAAACCAAGACTCTTATAACTTGTTACAAACTTGTTTGTGAATTTGGCATTTATTTCAGTAATGGTAGGTTTTATATGTGTTTACATGCTATTGAATGTCTGATTATCGCATTAGCTTACATGTTCACAAACAATGCTACTAACACTTATTTTCTTCTTTCTTATTTCTTCTTCATCTGTTCTTGTATTAATACAGTTTTTCTTCACTTAGTTCTTTTTTTTCAACAAATTTGAAATAGCGCCCCCATAGAAAACAGCATGGAAAAGTGGAAAAATTTAAAATGATGGGAAATCAATGACAAAATAAAAAGTTAACAATTTTTAAAAAATAATAATAATAAATAAATAAACAAACTCTCTTCCACCCCCTTGTGGCTACACAGATTTATCCTACCATTTTTTGCTGATTTAAACCATCAGAGAAATTAAGTATCAGAGCATTTCTGTTGAATAAATGTTTTATTTTTCCTTCCACAGCTCCAGACGGATGCAGAGAAACACTCTGCAGTGAAACAAAACCCCAGCTGGTCCGATAAAGACCTTAAACGTGTTGAGTTAGACAGTGGCGTAAAAATGGAGACCACAACTAAGTGGAACAACAGGTCAGATTTCTCAGATGAATCTGAACGAAGCTTAATAGGACGCAAGACTCCTACCATCTCCCAGACAGGCTCTTGGAGACGGGGAATGAGCGCCCAGGTGGGCATCACCTCGCCAAGGACTAAGACCACTACATCCTCAAACTGCAACACTCTCAAGACACATGGTAATAGCCTACTCTATAAGCATAACCTCATGTATTTCAATCACTTTTTGAATTTGGAAAATGGACAAAAACATGACAATATGGACCAAAAACATAAACTTTCAGTGTATGGATAAAAGTGACTGAAATAAAATAAAATTAAGTTAAATTATCAAAAGGTATTTGAGCTTTTATAAAACCTAGAAAAAAATGTCAGAAAAAATTCTATGTATTAATATAGTGATTTTATTTTTTTAAATTTTGTTTAATTTTGATTAGAATTTATTATATTTCATTTTTATTATATAATATTTAAACTCTTAGCTCTATTTTCTATGTATCTCAGCTTAGTTGTACTTATTTGGTAGCTTACATTTATTTAATTTTATTTATTTTGATTTACTCTTTATGTTATATATATTTTTAAAATTGTTTAAATTTATTTAAACATTGTTTTATTGAGTATGCTATTTAGCTTACTATTTTTAGATTTTTTCTATTTGCAAGTCACTTTTTTTTTTACTTGCATTATTTTAAATGTTTTCATTTACAATCATTTTATTTAAAATAATATAAACATGTATTTATTCTGTGTTTGAATCAGGGAATCACAATCGATTTCACAATATTTGTTTTATTTCGGCTAGAATAAAAGCAGATATTAATTTTTTAAACACCATTTTAAGGACAAAATTATTATCCCCTTTAAGCAAAATTTTTTTCGATAGTCTACAGAACAAAGCTTGGCTATACAATAACTTTCCTAATTACCCTAACCTGCCTAGTTAACCTAATTAGCCTAGTTAAGCCTTTAAATTTACCTTTAAGCTGTTTAAAAGTGTCTTGAACATATTTAGTAAAATATTATTAACTGTCATCATGACAAAGATTAAATAAATCAATTAATAGAGATAAGTTATTAAACTATTATGCTTAGAAATGTGTTGGAAAAAATCTTCTCTCCGTTAAACAGAAATTGGGGAAAAAATAAACAGGGAATGTAATAATTCAGGGGGGCTAATAATTCTGACTTCAACTGTATGTATTATATAATTTCCCCAACCCAGAGCAAATGCTTGACTGCTGTCTATGTGTGTGACAGTCTTACTATCCAACTGATTGAGCACATTTTTTTTCTTCTGCCCAGTTAAAATTGCGCAACAGAACTATGTGGAAAGCCCATAATAAAACAAACAACCAGGAAAGTGCGGATAAGTGGGATGATGCCACTTCAGAAGCATTAATAGACTAATACCTATCAAAAAAAAAAAAACAGCATGTCAGTAATATGGGAATATTTTGGTTTCAAAGTCACAGACATCAAACAAAAGCAGGTAATTTGTAAGAGCTGTCGCAGAATTGTTGCCACAGCAGGAGGAAATACAACAACCAGCACCTAAAAAAGCACCACAGACACCTAAATGAGGAGGGTCTTGCTAGAAAGTCAACAAAAAATATTGCTGGTGACAATTAATGTAGTAGCTAGCAACAGCAAAGTACAATTTCAGAGTTGTGTGCAGCTGTTACACCATATGAAAAATCATCATGAAGGCAATACAAACTTTAATAGATGGTGGAGTTAGTTTATATCTTTTCAGTTCTTTTTTTTAACACTCACTGCATTTTAGCAGTACGAAGCTATGATACAGAATATTGAGCTGAAGCTTGACTGCAAAGTTAAATCACAAATCAAGTGAATTTGCAATACCTATTGAAAAAAATCGCAATTACATATTTTCCCCAAAATTGCACTGCCCTAGTTTAAATATACAGAAACAAAACAGTAGCTTCAACAATAACAAAACTGTTAGAGCCAATTTCTAAGTAGATTCCTGAGGCATAACAGGCAAAAGATCTCTATCTGCTCACACACAGAACTATAACACCTACATTATCTTGAGCTGTGTGCTCAGATAAGGCTTATTTTCAGACGAGTCTTGACACGGACCATGCATTTGTATTCAAAACCATCAAAATCATTCTGCTTGACAGTTCATGTCCTTTATCATCCCACAGGTAAGACAGATGACGCCAAGGTATCAGAAAAAGGACGCTCTAACAGCACCCACTCCATAACTGTAGACGACAGCAAGAAACCTCCTCTCAATTCCACCGCACGCACACCAACCAGCACTTTTGGCTTCAAGAAAGCCCCGGGAACAATGGCGACAATTACCGCGAGTGGTGCTGTGGTAACTAGTGGCTCCGCTACTGTGGGAAAGATACCTAAATCTGTCGGCTTCTCTGGGAGTCGAATTGGTTGTCGGCAGACAGCTGTCGATGATGGATACCTTCCCCCAAGTGCTCGGACGACACTTCAGTATCGGAGTTTACCAAGACCTAGCCGAACCAGTGCCACTCGCTGTTCAAATCGCCCCAACATCTCAAACTTTGATTCAAATTTTTGTAACAAAAGCACTGCCACACTTCCCAACCCTAAGAGTCGCAACTTAGTCAAGTCCCCTGTGGGAGCTACTAACCAGACAGACCGGGAAAAGGGGATCTTTTCGGATGTGGATAACCAGGTACTTAAGACTAGTCAGTCGGGGATGCAAACTGGAAGGCAAACAGGAGGAAAGTATCCAGAAATGTCTTCACCAACTTTTCGTAGGTAAGTTGAAATATTCGCACAGCAGTTCTTGACTTTGTGAGTGAAAAAGCATAAGTTGTCATGTCTGTGTAAACACATGAAAATGAGTCTTTACAAACAATGGTCATGCACAGTACATGTTTGGGGTGGTGTAGGTTAAGCGCAATTGCAAACAAACACACAGCAATGGCGGAGTATATGGTGGTGTTACTGCTGTTACTCAAGTGTTTGCTAATACTTCACCAGATAAGTGTGTGTTTACTTTACATTACTACCAACAGCTGAGATGCATTTTAAACACATGGCAAATTCTACAAATATATCAGTCCTAAGAGTTTACCAACACCTAGTTGACCTTGTTTTGGTCATCACGTGTTGTTCAAATCGCTCGAGTTACAGTGCTTTATTTTGCAGTAAATGTACCCATTCGAGTTACAACTTAGTCAAGTCCCCAGTGGGTACTACTAACCAGACGTTTCAAACACACTTGGCAGCTAGAAATGTGAATATAATTCACTTATATTATATTACAAATTCATTTTAATGTGATTCAGTAAGATCCAAGAAGCATCCACAAAATCACTGTTGATCTAGTTTAAATTGTTCATAACACAGAGCGATTTTCCACCAGAAGGATTTGCAAACTAAGGCCCGATCATACTAAACACATTTTTGGGAGGCACCTTTTTATTAACTGTGATCGATTTAATTTGCCTGCTATACCTTGTGATTTCCTGGATCTGTCTGATGGACAGAAAAAAACAATTCTGTGTGAAAAACATGCCTGACATCTTGCACTCCAGCACCAAGGCATTTGATGCAGTGGTTGCCTAGCAACATAAAACACGCAGCACAATGCTTCTTTCAAAAGTCATCCAAAAAGGCAGTGTGGTTTCAGAGCTAGCAATTTTCAATGTTTTTGGTGGGATTGAAGCCTAACTTGTTAGTTAGGGGTTTGAATCTGACTCAGTAATTAATTTATAGCATAGACTGCAGTGACGTTTTAGTACTGGAGTTTATCAAGGTCTTGTTGACCTTGTTCATTAGAGTCTAGGTTAGGGGTTTGAATCAGACTCAATCAGTAATTAATGTACAGCGTAGACTGCAGTGACTCTCAAGGACTGGAGTTTATCAAGGTCTTATTGACCTTGTTCGTGTGTTTATAAGAGTCTGGGTTAGAGGTTTAAATCAGACTCAATAAGTAGTATATTTATAGCGTAGACTGCAATGACTCCTCAGTACTGGAGTTTATCAAGGTCTTGTCTTGTTAAGCCATATTAAAATAAACAGGTTTAAGCCCTTGAGGTTTCTTGAGTCATTACTAAAATGTGTTCATAAGAGTCTGGGTTAGGGATTTAAATCAGACTCAATCAGTAATTCATTTATAGACTGCAATGACTCTTCAGTATTGGAGGTTATCAAGGTCTTGTTACATCAACAACACTTACAGTTCAGATCACTTCAACAATTCAAGCTTTGACATTTGAGCCCAATTCTAAGAGTTGCAACTTGCTTAAGTCCCCAATAGGAATGACTAACCAGATAAACAGAGAGAAGCGTATCTTTTCTGATGTGGATAACTGGGTGCTTAAGACTATGTAGATGGGGATGCCAGTTGTGCAGAAAACAGGAGGACAAAAATCCAAATACGGTATGTCCTTGCAAGCACTTTATAGCTTCTAGTTTTGCTTATGAAGACTAGAAAGACTGTTGATGCTAAATGTATTTAGCAAAACATACTCGGTGTGGATGAAAGCATAATTTTAGGGCGCTCAAATATTTGCACAGCGGTTCTCAGCTGTGCTGTGTCGGTTCCAGAATATTCTCCTGCTCGGTTGTTGGATGATGTTCACAGGAGTTGCTGTTTATCTGAGCCATTTGATGTTAGTTGAGATTCAGAGGCTTGAAAGTCATCTTCTGGCCACCACAAGTGATTTTTTTGGGCTTCTTGATGTTTCTCTGAGACATGGCACAAACCAAGAGGCTAGTGTTTGTTCTAGCTGATAAGCTTGCTAGCTCTGACTGATTGCTCCATTAGTTAGTAGAACCAGACTACAGATAGAGTGATGTTATCTAACTGGTCATTCCATGAAGTAATGAGTAAAAACCAGTACCAGACTGTCTTTACCTTGTATTTTCTTTAGGGAAGAACAGGGGTGTCCAGTCTATTTAGCAACTTTACTTTTTTTAGTATTTCTTGAAGACTTGGAGATCTTGTTTATGTTAGTTCTTTATATGAGTCTGATTCGTGTGTAAGATTCAAACTGCTGCCTTGTAAGTTAAAGACAGTTTTGTGAATCATTTTGACCACCAAAAAACTTGTTCATAAGAGTCATTGGTAGGACAGTAATTTCCGCATATGCTTAAGCCATTTCTGTTGATATGTGAGCCAATGAATGAATTGTTGCATGTGAGCCATTTTTATTCATCTGATACAATATTTTGATTTATTAATTTAACAGTTGTACAAGTGAGGGTTTAGTCTAATTTAGTCAAATTCAAAAAGAAATAAATCAATAAAAAGTAAGTTACAAGTGAGTTTGAGACAGTTTTGTTAATTTTTTGCTCTGACTTATTAAAAGAACTTGCTCAGAAAAGTCATTCACTGTGCACAGTCATCACAGCCTTACATTATTAACAGTTTTCAATACGAAGTAGCGAAGGAAGTTTAAGACAGTTTCATTACCCTGCCTCACTAACTGAAAAGAATTTTATTTTTTAAAAATTTTACAAATTTTTTAAAAATTATTTTATTTTTACTGATTTAGTGTTGGGCAGTAGCGTTGCTACAAGTAGTGACCCTACTAGCTTAACTACATTTCATTTCTCACTAGCATAAGGGCAGCATCGCTACTTTCTAAATCAAATAGATTTTCATTTGGAAAGCCAATATTTTGAGCAAGTAGTGCAGTAGTGTCCACATAAACTAGATTGCTCACAAGCTGTGAAATTGGTTTCTAGCTGATAAAAGTAAATCCATATGATAGCACGAATGGCAAATTCTTCTTCATGTTTTACGGTGGTCAAAAACAAACTTTTTGGTGCGTCACTCCCACCTCTCGCTCCGGTCAGTGACGTCGCCAATCAATCACTGGGCTCACACGAGAAACTAACTAGATGGAAAGACGGACTGTAGAGGAATTATTTCTGAAGCAGGACTATACCCCAATGTACGTGTCTTAAAGTTAAATCTGATGCTGTGCTCTTGTTAATTGAATTGATTTTAGATTTATTCACTGTTTGTTCTGCAAATGTGCCCAAGTGCAGTTGTACATGAAAAAAAAAGATTTTAATGTAAATACGGTATTTAACCTATTTAACATACTGTAGTGTTTTTGAACAGTACTATAGGGAATTAATTGAATTAATTTGCTGTGTTTTTTTGTTTGTTTTTGCTGTCTAGTAAAATTTGTTTCTGTTTGGAACAACATATTAATGACAGTAAACAAAACTTAACAGTTATGTTTACCACATATGCTTAACGCATGTTTTATTGGCAGTTTTATTGATCACTAAGATAAAACTGACTTGGGAGGGGGTTTAGAGTAGTTAAGCTACATTTCAATTACAGTAACTAATAGCTTGGGCTAGATGGAATCTGTGGACAATTTTTGCTTTTTCTGCACAGAATTTTATTAAAAATCTGTGGGTTTATGCAGAATTATTTTGGGAGTATCATAACTAAAACCTTAATATATAAAAAAGTAATACCTTTTTATTGAATGTTTACAATGCAAATCCAGTTAGATCCACTTTATTTGGTAAACAAAGCAAGTGTCTAATATAATATATCTCCTAAAAGATATATATAATATTTTCATAATAGTCAATGATATTACTGTAATTAATTTAAAAACTGAATGAATATAAACATACTCACATTTACATAAGTAAAAAAAAAACGATTCAATTATGGGCTAAAATCTGCGGAAATCTGTTGAATTCTTCGCGCACAGATTCCATGTGGGCCTACTAATAGCTTAGCTTACTACATTTACCAAATAACTTGCACACTGTAAAGTCTCATCAAAACATCTAACTTACAAATAGGGTTGAGACAGTGTAGTGATTTCGACTTCTTATCAATTAGAAATGATCAGACAGGAGGTTTTGAATATCAGAAAATAGACTTTATTCTCCATAATAAAGCCGAGAAAGAGCAGAGCAGACCTCATAGCATTCTCCTCCTGCTCCTTCTAAAGTCTCTGTGTTTTCCTACAATCTTTATACAGGTTATTTGACACACCCCTAGGTGTCTCATTTTAACTTTTAACCACTTTAGGATAGGTTTTTACTCTAGGTGGTCCTGCTATTCTTGGCTCTCAGCCCACTAGCTCATGTCAACAGAGATGTTACAGGTCTGTGTCAGCAACAAACCAAGAGAAATCTTCTTCAACAGTTTCTTGAGTCAATAATAAAATGTGTTCATAACAATCATTTGTTTGCAGTTCCGTCATTGCAACCTGTAATATTACCACAGTCTGGTTTTCAATCTGTCTCATTGTTAAATCTCTCTACACACTTTGCATCCAGACTCTTTGGTGGTAAATCATGCAACAAGCAAGTGCCGGTCACCACCATGGAGAACATGAAGAACTCCACAGTCATCTCCAATCCCCATGCCACATCCACCCAACAGAATGGATCACTGGACTCAAAATCTGTCGCCAGCGGTCCAGATTATGGCGAAAATCTAACGGTGCCCTCTGGAGGTCATGGAGAACAGACCCTTTCCTCTGTAATCTCCAGTCCAGGATCAGCTTTCTCTCCTTGGGGAGGCAAGGCTGGATTGGATTTCCCTTCTCAAAGCTCCAACCACACCAATAGTGACTCCATAGATGTTTGCTTGGGAAAAGAAGATTTATGTCTTAATCGTGTCAACAGTGCCCGAACCGGCCTCTCAGACAGGTGAGATACTGGTTGTTTGTTTTAACTCAGCTGTTTATGACTTGTAAGTAGGGTTTACATCTGTACTCATGATCTGTCTTCCTCTCCTGTTACGCCTCTTTAATCATTTCTTTATCTCCTCTCCTTTCTTCTGTCTCTTTTTATCTGCTTCTTTTTTGTTTTGTCTGCCCTGTGCCCTCTTCTAGCCCTCACTCCTCTCCCTCTGCTAGCCCTAAATTTACCCACAACACTCTGCCGCGGAAGCAGGACAGGTAAAGCTATATTTGTGGTCAAATGATCAGTTGTGCTTTGTGAGTTTGTCTTGCACGTGTTCAACTGTGATCAGGGTTGCCAGTTGGAACCGATTTACAAAAGAATTTAAAAATTAGGAAATCTCTGTGTGGTTTATATATTTGGCTTGATTTCATTGTGTCCTACATGTTGCAGATGTTGTGTGAGCATTGATTTACGAACAAATGAATCTTTTTGACCAGTTCTGGCAACCCAGGCTCATTATGGATATGTACCCCTGCATACATTTAGGGAGAGACAGAAATACACACCAGGAGCTACGTTTTTTTTTGTTCAAATCCACCAGAGGCCACTGTGTATGCTTTGTCAGATTTCAAATTTTTGTGTGTACATTTGCGCCTGCTCTTCTCATGTAAGTCAACCAGAGGCCACTGTGTATGCATTTTCAGATCTCAAATTTCTCTCGCGAGTGGCATTCGCACCTGCTCTTCTCATGTAAATGCATCAAAAGCTGATGTGTATGCTTTTTTAGATCTTAAATTTCTCTCGCCAGTGGCATTCACGCCTGCTTGTCTCATGTAAATCCACCAGAGGCTGCTGTGTATGTTTTTTCAGATTTAAAATTTCTCTCGCAAGTGGCATTCGAGCCTACTCGTCTTGTGTAAATCCACCCGAGACCGCTGTGTACGCTTTTTCAGATGTCAAATTTCTCTCATGAGTCCCACTTGCACCTGCTCTTCTCGGGTAAATCCACCAGAGGTTCGCTGTGTACGCTTTTTTAGAACTCAAATTTCTATCGCGAGTTCCATTCTTGCCTGCTCTTCTCATGTAAATCCACAGAGGCCGCTGTGTATGCTTTTTCAGGTTTCAAATTTGTCTCGCGGGTGCCATTCTCGCCACCTCCAACAGAAGTCGATGTCAACTGACTGACCAACCGAGCGTCAGACTGATACCCGCATCCCTAAACCAAACCGATAGTATTTTTTTTAAAACAATCCAAAAAAAGAAAAGCTCTCACGGTTTTTACCACATTTTCAGAAATTACCATGTTCTCACCCTGTTATTTACTTGTTAATTTTATGTTTTGCCTTTTGGTTTGTTTTTCCTGCTTTCTGGAAAGCAGTCAGCTGGTAGTGCAAAAAGGAACTGAAGCTGTCGTCGGTGTCATACCACCGCATAGCATTCGTTTTAAAGACAAAATGCAGCCATACGTACCTTAGTCTACATCTTAGCAAACTTCAGAAATGTATAAGGGACTACATATTCACAATGAGCTGTTTTGACTTCTGGACAGTCAAAAAGATTCACAAAAGATTCTACTATGTTCATTTTCACAATGATTTCACTAGAATGGAAACATTTTTTTTAATTCTTGCAAAAATGCACTAAAGTGGAAAATAGTAGTAGTATGCACGTCAGGCCAGTAGATGGCGATGTCACTTCATGTTTGCTCATACGATTTTGAAGTCTTATTATTGTTTTGGTTGTCAAATACTTGTGCAGGCCTACTGACCGAATATGTAAAATGCATGAGCAAAAACATTTACTTAATTTTAGGGCTGCACGATGTTGGAAAAATCCAACATTCTGTTTTTTTTTTTTTGTTTTTTTTTTGATACATATTGTGATACAATTTCACCAGATGGCTTAAATAACTCTATTTGGAAATAACTGATTAATTGTGATTATTTTGTAGGGGAGTGAATCCTGCACAAAATATAAAAAACAAATTACAAGTGTAGATAAATACATAAGAGCAAAGTTAAAAGTAAATTTCAAATTTTTGGAAACTGAAACATTTTTTAAAAACAGCGCTTTATGGTTTACTGTCAACCATATTCAGATACAGAATTTAAATATCAGTTGAAAACAGAATTATGTAAACAGCCTTTGTTCAAATTAGATTAATTACTTAGTCTGAGTGCACATTTGACTCCCTCACTGAACTTTGAATCATTTTTTTTAATTATTGTCTGATTCAACATGAACAACAAAGCATCACCTGGAATTAAACACTATATACATACACTGTAAAATCCAACAGTCAGCTTTATCAAATGAAATGAGTGTAGTTAGGATTAGGATTAGTTTTTTAACTGCAATCTGGTTCCTCAAATATTTTTAGTTAATGGTTTGAGTATATATATATATATATATATATATATATATATATATATATATATATATATATATATATATATATATATATATATATATATTATAAATTTTTTTAATAAATTTTTCAACCAAAACAATAATTTAACTTCTAAATGTTGTATTTTATTAGTCGTTCCTTTATATTGTGATAATATGCCAGTGCAGATTGTGTCGACTGGTTTTTAATTCATTTTGTTCACGGTTTGTTATTTACTTTGCTTGTACTTGCTGTCCTGGTTAAATATTGCAGAATGTACAGTAAATAATCCTTGGAGTTTGTAGCTCTGGACTTGGGGTTTCTGTTACTTTGTGATTTTCCTGGCATAGTGGCGTTTTTCTTGGAGCTGATTTTATGGGAACTTTCATGCAGAAGAGAAAAACAACTCTGCTTCACACACTCATGTGCACTTGTTTTAAACCTGCAGGTATGGCCATGTGCCGCAGATCAGAGGTCACGAGGAGGCTCGTGATTGGCTGCGTTCCCCCACAGCTGTTGGGCTGCAGGATTCAACCAGTTCTTCTCCCTACAACCCTGCATCTGCTCTCAGCTCACCCTCAGGCACACGCTTCAACTTTAACACACTTGGTAAACACATGCTTCAAATGATAGATAGATATTTATTAGTAGAATTTTAATATTTGTAATATGATTTTAGTACTATTAGTATTATCTAATACTTGCAGCTGAGTATTATTAAACTTAGTCAAAAGAAGTGAATGTCTATATTAGAATATTCACTTTCATGTATTAAAATCCATTTGTTTGTATGTGCTTTGATAACTAACATAATCACTAATCTCCATTTTACGATGAACTTTGAATGCACACTCATGTCAGTAGGTTCAGTCGTAGAGCTTTTGTTTAACCTTGATCCCTGTTGTTGACAAACTCCAGGCAGTCCCACCACATCTTCACAAATCACTGCTTTGCGTGGCATCAACGGTCATGGAAATCATGAAAGCTCATTCGAACCCTACATTGACCCTCGTCTCAGGAACTCCTCGATGAGCCTGGAGGAAAGGAACCGAACTATGAGCAGCTCCGGATCATTTCGTGAAGGACTGGAAGAAGGTGAGACCTCGAATGGGGTTTGCCATCTTTTGTGTGTTTGCATGTGTGTGTGTGTGTGTGTGTGTGTGTGTGTGTGTGTGTGTGTGTGTGTGTGTGTGTGTGTGTGTTTGTGTGTATGTAAACAGTGTTATCATTTTTAGGCCCTTTTGAAATCTGTTTTATTATATTGCAAACGTACAGTACAGCACTTCATATTCACATTGCTAGCAATAGAAGATTTATTTAAATTTTCTAGCTGTAGACACTCTGTACAGGAGACATGGCATGCCAAGTGTATCTGCAAGACAGGGGCATGACATGAAGGGGCGTAACTTGTAGTAAGTAAGAGGCGTAGCTTGCAGTTATCGAGATCCCATTGAACCATGCAAGATGTCACAACAGGATGTTGTTGGCAAGATGGTGGACATACTTAATAGTGCATCCGGAAAGTATTCATAGCGCTTTAATTTTTCCACATATTTTTTTATGTTACAGACTTTTTCCTAAATGGATTCAATTCATTTTTTTCGTCAAAATTCTACACACAATACCCCAAAATGACAATGTGAAACAGGATTTTTTTAAATTGTTCCGAATTTATTACAAACTAAAAAACTAAAAAAATCAAATGCACAGAAGTATTCACAGCCTTTGCTCAATACTTTGTTGATGCACCTTTGTCAGCAATTACAGCCTCAAGTCTTTTTGAATATGATGCCACAAGCTTGGCATACCTGTATTTGGGAACTTTTGCCCATTCCTCTTTGCAGTACCTCTCAAGCTCTATCAGGTTGTACGGGAAGCGACGGTGTACAGCCATTTTAAGATCTCTCCAGAGATGTTCATAGGATTTAGGTCTGGGCTCTGGCTGGTCAACTCAAGGACATTCCATTGATATTTTGGGGGTGTGCTTTGAGTCATTGTCTTGCTGGAAGATGAACCATGATGAGGTCAAGAGCACTCTGATGCAGGTTTTCATTCAGGATGTCTCTGTACATTTCTGCATTTATCTTTCCCTCTATCCTGACTAGTCTTCCAGTTCATACTGCTGAAAAACTGCACAGATAGTTGTCCCTTTGTAAGGTTCTCCTCTCTCCACAGAAGAGCACTGGAGCTCAGACATAGTGACCATCGAGTTATTGATCACCTCCATGCCTATGGCCCTTCTCCCCTGATCACTCAGCTTAGAAGGCTGGCCAGCTCTAGGAAGAGCCCTGGTCGTTCCAAACATCTTCCACTTTTGGATAATGGAGGTCACTGAGCTCATTGGAACTTTCAGAGCAGCAGAAATGTTTCAGTAACCTTTCCCAGCAGTGTGCCTCGAAACAATCCTGTCTTGGAGGTCTACAGACAATTCCTTTGTTTTCATGCTTGGTTTGTGCTTTGACATGCACTGTCAACCCTGGGACCTTATATAGACAGGTGTATTTTCAAATCATGTCCAATCAACTAAATTTACCACAGGTGAACTCCAATTAAGCTGCTGAAACATCTCAAGAATAATCAGTGGAAACAGAATGTAATTGAAGCTCAATTTAGAGCTTCACGGCAAAGGCTGCGAATACTTAGGTATATGTGATCCTTTTATTTTTAATAAATTTGCAACAATTTCAAAAAAAAAATTTCACATTGTTATTATGAGGTATTGTGTGTAGAATTTGGAGAAAATAAATGAATTTGATCCATTTTGGAATAAGGCTGTGTCGTAAAAAAAAATGTGGAGAAAGTGAAGCGCTATGAATACTTTCTGGATGCACTGTACCAGAGAACATTTTCACCAAATGACTACTTCATCCATTTTGTCATGACAGTAAGCCTACTCAGCATCGCCCCCTGTGGTTGCAAATAACAATACAATGGCGAGCGTGTCAAGCATGAAAGCTTCTGCAACTCACGGCTGTACGTTAATAAATGTAATGGTTAGGTTTACAGTGGGAGAAGGTATAGATGTTAATAACTGTGATGTTTGGGATGGTTGGGGTAGGTGTAGATGTTAATAAAGATGATGGATGGGTTTAGGGTTGTAGTGGGTATAGACGTTAATAACTATGATGGTTGGGTTTAGGTTTGGTGAAGGTGTAGGTGGTAAAATGATGGTGGTTGGTCTTAGGGTTGTGGTATAGACGTTAATAACTGTGATGGTTGGGTTAAAGGTTGGGTTAGGTGTAGACGTTAATAACGGTGATGGTTGGGTTTAGGGTTGTAGTAGGTGTAGACGTTAATAACTATAATAGTTGGGTTTAGGTTTGGGGAGGTGTAAATGTTAATAATAATGACGATTGGGTTTAGGGTTGTGGTATAGACGTTAATAGCTATGATGGTTGGGTTAAGGGTTTGGGTAGTTGTAGTCGTTAATGATGATGGTTGGGTTTAGGGTTGTGGTAGGTATAGATGTTAATAACTGTAATGGTTGGGTTTAGAGTTGTGGAAGGTTTAGACATTAATGATGATGATTGGGTTTAGGGTTGTGGTAGTTATAGTTGTTAATAACTGTGATGGTTGGGTTTAGGGTTGTGGAAAGTGTAGATGTTAATAACTGTGATGGTTGAGTTAAGGGTTGGGGAAGGTGTAGACGTTAGTGATGATGGTTGGGTTTAGGGCATACCTGTAAACCCTCCCGTTTTTCACAGGATTCTTCCGTATTTTAGAGTTCTGTCCCGCTATCATCCCGTAAAGGTATTTTCCCGTATTTCTCCTGTATTTTCAGTCTTTCTCTGTAGGGTGGCAAGAAACATTAAAGAGCCGATCCTCCCTATACGCAACCCAGGGGCCACACCTTGCTCTTAAATGTGAGTCTGTTCTGTGCTTTCCCTTGTTTTGGCGCGAAAACACTTTGAAATAAATATAAAAAATGGCGCGATTCCCCTTCCTTTTCATTACAGGTGCCGTCACACTTCCTATGCAATCCTCAAAACAGCCATATAGTGGTGCATGACTGTCAGTTGACGTGTTTCATAGTGATAAATAGACTCTGTTTCCCAAACAGATTCTGTACACACGATTTAAGGTGGAGCAAAAGTCTCCCTTAAGGGCATATCCCTTATTTTCACATCCCAATGTTGACAGGTATGGTCTACGATTGTGGTAGGTATAGACGTTAATAACAGTGATGGTTGGGTTTAGGTTTGGAGTAGATGTAGACCTTGCTAACTGTTGTACAGTGCCATCTTGCCAACAACATAGTTTTGACATGTGGGTCTCCATAACTTCCAAGTTATGCCTCTAACGTACTACAAGTTACGCCCCTTCATATTACACCTGTCTGCATACTGACCCTATTCAGGCACAGAGGAGATTGGTTGACAGTGGTCTACAGTTAATTAAGACGCAGAACACAAACACAACACAGCCCTCTTTATTTCTGTCTGTCATCAAATTGTACCATTACAACTCAACCTGTAACGTCATGTTTGTTTGGAAAAGAATACATAGACGTGTATTGTTCTGTTACCTAATACCTCAATGATAGGTTGTCATGATCGTTAGTTCTTTTTGACACCGTCATTCTGTAACGTGCGCGCCAACGAATAAACAAACAAAGAGCAGCTTTGTTGGTCTGGCAGGCTTTACCCACAGTTAATGCTGATTTGATGATTAACTCGCTGCTTTGGCTCAACACCACTTGTCCTAAGGCTCTCTTTCGCGTTCAGTATTTATGATTCATGTCTTTCTAAGGTAGTGCTGGTGTTGATTTCAATGTGCCAATGAGCTTAAGCAGTGTTGTTTAGGCTTGTAAAGAGAGCTGTTCACAATGATGCATGACCTCAGCCTACTGCAATTTTTGGGGTTATTTTTGACCAAAGTCTGTTTTTTATTGGGCTGAAAAATGAAACGTTGGCTGAAAGAGATTCGCAGATTAAGTACATTTGTATTTGTTTACACTAATGAGCACTTCTGGCCCATTAAAGCCCCATGGGGCTGTCATAGTATAGTATTGTTATAGTATGTTATTTTGATATTCACCATAGTATTACCATAGTCGTGTAATATGAGGTATAACTGGTATTTGGCGGATTGGAAAGAAATATGTATGCTTATATTCAGATATTTGTGTTATTGTTTCTTATATATATATATATATATATATATATATATATATATATATATATATATATATATATATATATATAAAGAAATAGCACAGTTATACAACTTTATGTGTAGTATTCAGGGGTGCCGCTACAGGAGGGGGAAGTTAGGATGATTCTAAGGGGCCGTTTTGGGGCACTATTAGGGGCCTAACAGCTCTTCATTTTCGTTTGCGACCTGAGTATTTATTACTTAGTATCTATTAGCAAAAATATAATGACAACAAAACAGGTGAAAATAAGCGTGTTGTTTTATAAGTCATTAAGATTGTGGACTATTATTTCACCTTATGTTTGTACTTTTTATTAGTTATATGAAACATTAAAGCAGGTTCTTTTATGTTTACCATGTACGGTTGAAGTCAAAAATTTTCGTGAATATTTTTTTTTTCAAATATTTGCCACTATCTGCACTATTTCCTATAACGTTTTTTTTTCTTTTGGAGAAAGTCTTATTTGTTTTATTTCTTATAGAATAAAAGCAGTTTTTAATTTCTTAAAAACCATTTTAAGGTCAAAATTATTAGTCCACTTAAGCAAAATATGTTTATTTGATAGTCTTTAAAACAAACCACTGTTAAACAATGTGTCATGTTCATCAGCAATTTAACCACCAGAGGTAAACACTCACATTCACATTAACTACAAATCTGCTGGTAAATGTACTACAAGAACCAGTCATGCTCCACACACAACCGTTTCCAGATCCTGACTGGTTGCATACACACAGCTGATACTGCTTAAGTACTGATTACTCACACATATATACAGCTCACTTTGAGACACTCATTGCTGAGTCTTGTTATCTGCTATAGTGACATTACAACACATTTCCTTTGTCTGCCTTTCCCATGTTTTTGATCCTTTGCCTTGTTTATTTGTTTCATCCTGTTTACTGCCTGCCTTGTGACCATCTGCCTGTTGATTTGACTACGACTCTGGATCCTCACCTCTGTTGTCAGTGACATGTCCCCTGGTTATACAATGACTTGTCTAATTACCCTAAATTGCCTAATTAACTTTAAGTTAAGGCTTTAAATGTCACTTTAAGCTGAATACTAGTATCTTGAAAAATATCCAAATATTATGTACTGTCATCATGTCCAAGATAAAATAAATCAGTTATTAGAAATAAGTTATTAAAATAACCATGTTTTGAATTGTGTTTAAAAAAAATCTTCTGTCCGTTAAACAGAAATTGGGGGAAAAATATACAGTGGGATAATTATTCTGACTTAAACTGTATATAAAATCAATTGTGTACATTTACTCTTAGGCAGACGCCATAATTTAATTAATATATTAATAAATATAGAATTGTATTATCGTGTCTAATGTTTTAACAAACACCCTTAAGCTAGAGCAGAGATGCCCAAAGTAGGGCCCGTGGGCCAAAGTTGGCCCATTGTAGCATTTGATTTGGCCCATCATTCCATCTGAGAAGAGAGTGAGAATGATGGAGTTGTACAGGGCAAATGCCTTTAAAAGAGATCATCATTTCTTATTTGATGTAACCTTTTTTGTTTGTTTGAACTACAATAAAAGCAAACTGAAATAAAATGTTTTCATTCAAAGTAAATTAACCTCATTTTAAAAAATGTGAATAATGTCACTCGACGGATAGAGGACTATGCAGAAGACATCGTTGAGCAAATCTAGACAAAATAGTGCAACTCCAATCTGTCATAAATTACATTGCTTTTGTTTTTACTGTAATATGTTCATTATAAAATCTTTATTAGTTAATTAGCTGTATTAGTTAATATAAAGCAATGTTTTCTAGTTATTTTTTAATATTATTAAATAAATTAGGAAATTAGCAATGCCAATTATATTTACCTTCGGCCTCAATCAAGTTTGGTTTTTGGCCCTTCATAAGAAAAAGTTTGGGCATCCCTGCTCTTGGGTGAGGAAATCATGTGTTCCTATCTCTTTTTGCAACCTCAAATGCAGTTTAGTTTAAGTGCTTCTTGACAGTTATTTTATCATTTTCAATACAATGAGACGAAAGCATGAACTCATAACTCTTTGCTGATATAAAGTATGTTGAAAGGTAATTTATAACCTTGTATTTTAACAGCATAATGGGTACCCTTTCATCCATTTTTGCTAGCGTTTTTGCTTTGATAATAACACATATCATGAAAAACATAAATCTTGTTAGAAATAAACAGGCTAAAGGTATTGTTTGCTAAGCAACAATAGCCTATTCGAGAATGATAAGCACTTTATGGTGTTTCAGCATGTGCTAGCTTATCCTGCTAGTCCTTCTTGCTAATTTTACAATAACTCACGCTACTGCAATACAATAATGGTTTTGATTGAGGTTATTTTGACTATTTTTATTGTCTTTATAGTTCATGGATCGTGTTTGTCTCTGGTCTCTAGCACATCATCAGTTTACTCTACGGTGAGTCCAAAGGTTTCCAGTATATGCTAAATGCTAAAGTTTATAGGATCTTTCTTATATCTGGGCTATATTTGTAATACTTCTTTGCTAAATGCTTCTGTCTGCTCTACCCTTTGATAACTTTGTTAGCTTCATTAGCCATGTTTGCTAAATATTTGAGTTTAGTTGTTCTTTATTGTAACCATTCTGCCTTCTGATACTTTTATTAGATAATGGTTAAATCTAAATCTTTAATATGTTCCGTGTGCCTTGTGTTAAATTTGTAGGTTTATTAGCCATGCTAGCTTAATGCTAATGTATATTGTTGCATGATAGCCTACTTCTGACACTTTTATTAGTTAAATGCTAAAGTTAAATGGATCTTTAATATATCTAGTTTGTTTACCTTGTAATACAATTGTTGACTTTATTAGCCATGCTAGCTAAATGCTAATGTTTAATGTTGCCTGATAGCTTACTTTTGACTCTTTTATTTGAATGCTAAAGCTAAACAGTTTATTAATATGTCCAGTTTATTTACCTTGTGATAAAATTATTGGCTTTATTAGCCATGCATGCTAATGTTCAGTGTTGCCTGAAACTTCTGATATTGTATTACTAATTGCTTAAGATATAGCTCAGCTTTAATAGCCATTTTGGCTAAATGCTAAAATTCAGTGTTGCCTTAGATGTTACGAATCTTAAAATGATATATGATGAGAAATAATTCAACTGTGTTTTATCAAGAGAAGTTATTTCAAACCATTAATCTTTATATTTTCTTTCTTTCTTCTCTCTAGCCTGAGGAAAAGGCCCAGACGGAGGTGAGAACTGCATCCCTCATTTCTTCTAATGTAAATTATTAAGTGTGTGCCACATGGGAGCCTGTAGACTGTCCAAAACAGTTTCTTTTCCGCTGGTTTGTAATTTTAAACAGACTTTGATGTAACCCTGGTAAAATTTTCCATGTTTGTCATGACGGTCTTCGTGGTAACTGTCCTTGATATCTGCTCTTTAATCTCTGCATTTTATGTCTGCAACCAAGAGTTTCTCTTTCATGCTGATCAAGGGCCAGTCTCTCTTCAGCACATTATTATATGAGAAGCCACAAGCTGGTCTCACATTAGCATCAGATGTCAGCTTCTCGCTGCATGACTTGTGTTTGAATATCTAACTTTAATGTGTGTTTAGATCCGTAAGCTGCGGAGGGAACTGGACGCATCACAGGAGAAGGTCTCTGCGCTCACAACACAGCTTAGTGCCAATGTGAGTACTTCAGGCACGATTATAGAAGTGTATGATGAGGCTATACGACTGCTGATATTGCTTTAATATCTCATGGTTATCAGCCAATCAGATTCGAAAAACAGACAGAACTGTTGTATAAATATATACAAAAACTAATCCATATATATATATATATATATATATATATATATATATATATATATATATATATATTTATATATATATATATATATATATATATATATATATATATATATATATATAAACTCCAATACAGACATATATGCTCAGTGGTTCAATGACTAATGTTTAAATGGTTACTGGCTTCCGAATTTGTGGAGTTATGAAATGTTCTGCTTCATTTTGAATATTGTGCCATGCTGTGATCTTGACTTTTACAGATTTAACAGCAGTTAAATGAGTGATTCATATTTGTTCTGTTTTTATAGTTCCTACTGCCCATAATAAGACACACAATGTGCGCATGTGTGTGTGTGTGTGTGTGTGTGTGTGTGCGCGTGTGTGTGTGTGTGTGTGCGTATATGTATACCGTTAAGTGGAATTATTTGCTCAGTAACACCAAAATATGAAATCCCGCATAGGGCCTTCACAACTAATGAATCGTCACATCCTAATACCCCTATCCATCCGTCAGCTCTCACACAGGCTTCACAAACAAAATCATTGACTTCTGCACTTCCTTTAAAGCATTTCACACATGAATGCTACTCTTTTTGGACCAAAACCCTTTGAGGAAGCTTTATTGAGGGTTATCTGATGTTTAAAACAGCACATGCCCAAACACACAAACCTTTGGAAGTCATCCAGATCTCCAGTCCCCTGATTATCGGCTCATGTTGCGTTTGATATGATTGTTGTGTTGTGTATGAGACCGATTGTACATTTTTGAGGGGAACTGAACTGAAATTAAGAACACTTCAGATTTGTGTGTGTACACGCTGTTCGTTAGGTCAGAGATGTTGACAGGTAAAGCTAAAAATACTGGAGAGGTTTTCTGGCAACCTCTGAATCATTACCCGTCTCTGAGGAGGGTCTGTGACAGGACTAAAGCAAAGAGACACAGACACAAGCAGAGACAATGGAGGAAGACGGAGCTCAGTAAGGTGGGCTTTAAAGGTCTTAGTTCGGTTTCCTGTTTGCTTTATATGTTGCTTTGAAGGAGTTTGAAGATTCTGTTTTTAGAATGAAAACTTTTTTGTTGTTGTATGAGGATTGTGTTTTTAAAATGAAGACTGTGTTTAGTACGAAGATTCCTTTGTTAGTTTGAGGATTCTATTTTTATCCAAAGAATTCAGCTTTTTTTGCCTGATAATTCTGTTTATTAAGATAACATTTTTAATCTGGGGATTCTGTTTTTAAGTCTGATTCTGTTTTAATTTGTGTTTTCAGCCGTGTGATTCCATTTTTAGTGTGAGAATTCGGAATTTAGTGTGAATCTGTTGTTAATTTGAGCTTTTTAAATATGGTTAATGCATTTTTAATCAGAGGATTTAGTCTTGGGATTTTGTTTTTTAGTGTATAATTCCATTTTTTGTTCAATAATTCCATTTTTAGGTTGAGAATTCTTTTTTTAGTCTAATTCCATTTTTTAATTCTTGGAGTTTTGTTTTTACTTTAAGGATTTTGTTTTCACTCTAAATCCATTATAATCTGATGATTCAGTCTATAATCTGAGAAATCTGTTTTTAATCTGAGGACTCCAATATTAGTTTGCGGATTAGTTTTTAGTCTGAGGATTCTGTTTTTATTCTGAGGATTCAGTTTTAGGATTGCATTTTTAATCTGGGTATTCGATTCAATTTTTAATCTGAGGATTCAGTGTACAATGAGGATTCAGTTTTGGTTTAACAATTTCATTTTTAGTCAAAGGATTTATGTTTATGGATTCTGTTTTTAGCCAAAGGATTCTGTTTCTTAGTCTGAAAATTCTATTTTTTTCAATTTTTTTATATTAAGAAAAGCAAATTTGAATTAAATTGTGATATTTAATATTCATTATATTTATGGGATAAATGTCATAAATATTTATGTAATAAACAAGTATTTGCTATTTTGTAGTTTTAGTTTTATTATATGTTTTATAGTTTTATTTTTGTTGTTAGTATTAGTTTAAATTGTGATTAGCATGGTTTCATCAAAGCAAGAAAGTTGATGTTTCGAGTTCTGGCTGGACCAGGAGTTTGTATGTTCTCCCCATGTTCATGTGGGTTTCACAAAAGATCCTTTGTGTGGGCTCCAGTTTTCACCACAGTTCAAAGACATGCAATAGAGGTTAATTGGGTAAACAAAATAGCCCATATTGTGAGTTACTCTATGTTTTTGTTCAGATGAGTTAAAGTCTTCAAATTGGCAGTGCAGATTAATGGTGCTTTAACCAGTTTATGCTGCTTAACAACCCAAGTTCATGCCACAGCTTGTCTTTATCACAAAATCCAGTCTCTCGTGGACATATCTATCAATCCAATGTTTTATTGATACCATATGACCTGGTTTCTCTACAGATGTGATCATACTTCAGTCAGCTGGTCAACATTTGTTTAAATGCTCTTCTGCTTTGAGTCTTTCCATATTAAAGTAAATCAGATTTATTTTTCTAAATGAGATTGTGTGTGTCCTCAGGCTCACCTCGTGGCGGCTTTTGAGCAGAGCTTAGGAAACATGACTATCCGGCTGCAGAGTCTGACAACAACAGCTGAACAAAAGGTGTGTTTGTAAGAAAAAGATTTAATGAAGAATTCATCATAAAGATACAATAAACCTGATAAATTGATGTGAGAAAACCATGTCTCAATAAAGTTCCGTTTGATAATTAAAGTTTAATTTAAAGGGATGCTTCACACAAATATATGAGTCACTTTCTGGGTGAAGAACATTTTTGCAGAAACTTTGGTCCTTGATCATTTATAAAATACTAGTTGACTGCATTCGTGAATGTCAAAAAAAACTCTATAAAGGCAAAACAAAATGAATAATCAAGATTTGTGATAATACATTGTGGCCTAAAAATGATCAGTCTGTGCAAGAAACTGAGCATTAATTGCAGAATTATTCTCTTTAGTCCACCACTTCAATAAACAGCTAGTTCATAACAGTCTAGAGGTCAGCCATGTTGTAGCATAATGACCTATGTGAAAGTGTAGTCTCATAAACTGTTTAACATCTTTAATACTGTATGTTTTCTCTGCAGGACACTGAATTAAATGATTTAAGGAAAACAATTGAACTCCTCAAAAAGCAGAACTCTGCGACTCAAGCCACCATAAATGGAGTCATTAACACACCAGAGCCGACATTAACCAGCCGCAAAGGTAAGATTTTTAACATCTTTAGGACAGTAGATTGAGTATCACATTTATTGCGATACTTTAGTTACACTCATCTATCTCTCCCTCAGTTTCTCTAGACTCTATCAACGGGTCACCTCAGTCTCAGCGAGAGTTGGGGATCTACAGGCAGCCGTCTTCAGACAGTGTTTCCAGCATGACCAGTGCCACCAGCCACTCCAGCATTGGCAGCAACCTGGAGCTTGATTCTAAAAACAAGAAGAAGAAGAAAAACTGGGTGAGTTTTTTAACATGTAATTTAAATGCATCTGAAATGTCACGTTTTATCCTGAGAGATGGTAATGGATTTTTAGGAGACTTATGCTGGGTTCACACAATATGGAAGCACCATGTCACTTGCTCTAGATTACTCACAGGATGTTTTTATGCCTCATGCAAATTTTCAGGGTTTTTTTTAACTTTCACCTAAGACACGATTGAGGCAAATTCTGTGTATCAACAGGAAGTGCATCATGCATTCTGCGTCATTCGGGACGCTCTGTGTAAATTTGCCCCTAATAATTAATTCTCTTTGACTTTTTATGCAATCTACATGCATTTGGTGTTAACCCAGCATAAGGACTGGGATCTTGTTCTGGATCTGGTATTGAGACATTTTGGTCGATCATATGTAGACAGACACATTTCTGTTTCCACCTAGGGTTAGGTATCATTTTGTTTTTTTACAATACCTTTGCCAAATCAGTCAATTTAAAATGGTACCTGTGCCTATATTGTGCGTGATTCTTTAATCAATTACTTAAAAACAGATCCACAAAATGATGCTGGATTACATTAATGATTGTCTTTTTTATTGATTAAAAACTCTTTAAATCTAACACCCTATATATAAAAATATAAGTCATTACAAAACCCAACAGATGTACATCTACAAGTAATTCACGATAAAAATTTACTAGGTAACACAAATACAATAATTTATCAGTGAATGACAGTTGCAGTACTACGAACAAGTAGCTGATATTCTTGGTATGCTAAAACCAAAGTCGAATTTCAGAAATTATTTTTGCAGAAATATGAGAACATTTGCTTTTTCTGGTACATTATTACTCTACTCCTGACTTACTGTCATTATATTTATTTGCCTTCTCTAGCATATTCTGACATTACTCCCAACTTACTGCCCTTACATTTGCCTTCTCTGGCATATTACGACAATACTCCCGACATACTGTCCTTACATTTGCCTTTTCTAGCATATTCCGACATTACTCCCAACTTACTGCCCTTACATTTGCCTTCTCTGGCATATTACGACAATACTCCCGACATACTGTCCTTACATTTGCCTTCTCTGGCATATTACAACATTACTCCCGACATACTGTCCTTACATTTGCCTTCTCTGGCATATTACAACATTACTCACAACTTACTGCCCTTACATTTGCCTTCTCTGGCATATTACGACAATACTCCCAACTTACTGTCTTTATATTTGTCTTCTGTGGCATATTCCGACATTACTCCTGACATACTGTCCTTACATTTGCCTTCTCTGGCATATTCCGACATTACTCACAACTTACTGCCCTTACATTTGCCTTCTCAAGCATATTGCGACATTACTCACAACTTACTGCCCTTACATTTGCCTTCTCTGGCATATTCCGACATTACTCCCGACATACTGTCCTTACATTTGCCTTCTCTGGCATATTACGACAATACTCCCGACATACTGTCCTTACATTTGCCTTCTCTGGCATATTACGACAATACTCCCGACATACTGTCCTTACATTTGCCTTCTCTGGCATATTCCGACATTACTCACAACTTACTGCCCTTACATTTGCCTTCTGTGGCATATTCCGACATTACTCACAACTTACTGCCCTTACATTTGCCTTCTCAAGCATATTCCGACATTACTCACAACTTACTGCCCTTACATTTGCCTTCTCAAGCATATTCCGACATTACTCACAACTTACTGCCCTTACATTTGCCTTCTCTGGCATATTCCGACATTACTCACAACTTACCGCCCTTACATTTGCCTTCTCTGGCATATTACGACAATACTCCCGACATACTGTCCTTACATTTGCCTTCTCTGGCATATTCCGACATTACTCACAACTTACTGCCCTTACATTTGCCTTCTGTGGCATATTCCGACATTACTCACAACTTACTGCCCTTACATTTGCTTTCTCAAGCATATTCCGACATTACTCACAACTTACTGCCCTTACATTTGCCTTCTCAAGCATATTCCGACATTACTCACAACTTACTGCCCTTACATTTGCCTTCTCTGGCATATTCCGACATTACTCACAACTTACTGCCCTTACATTTGCCTTCTCTGGCATATTACGACAATACTCCCGACATACTGTCCTTACATTTGCCTTCTCTGGCATATTCCGACATTACTCACAACTTACTGCCCTTACATTTGCCTTCTGTGGCATATTCCGACATTACTCACAACTTACTGCCCTTACATTTGCCTTCTCAAGCATATTCCGACATTACTCACAACTTACTGCCCTTACATTTGCCTTCTCTGGCATATTACGACAATACTCCCGACATACTGTCCTTACATTTGCCTTCTCTGGCATATTCCGACATTACTCACAACTTACTGCCCTTACATTTGCCTTCTGTGGCATATTCCGACATTACTCACAACTTACTGCCCTTACATTTGCCTTCTCAAGCATATTCCGACATTACTCACAACTTACTGCCCTTACATTTGCCTTCTCAAGCATATTCCGACATTACTCACAACTTACTGCCCTTACATTTGCCTTCTCTGGCATATTCCGACATTACTCACAACTTACCGCCCTTACATTTGCCTTCTCTGGCATATTACGACAATACTCCCGACATACTGTCCTTACATTTGCCTTCTCTGGCATATTCCGACATTACTCACAACTTACTGCCCTTACATTTGCCTTCTGTGGCATATTCCGACATTACTCACAACTTACTGCCCTTACATTTGCTTTCTCAAGCATATTCCGACATTACTCACAACTTACTGCCCTTACATTTGCCTTCTCAAGCATATTCCGACATTACTCACAACTTACTGCCCTTACATTTGCCTTCTCTGGCATATTCCGACATTACTCACAACTTACTGCCCTTACATTTGCCTTCTCTGGCATATTACGACAATACTCCCGACATACTGTCCTTACATTTGCCTTCTCTGGCATATTCCGACATTACTCACAACTTACTGCCCTTACATTTGCCTTCTGTGGCATATTCCGACATTACTCACAACTTACTGCCCTTACATTTGCCTTCTCAAGCATATTCCGACATTACTCACAACTTACTGCCCTTACATTTGCCTTCTCAAGCATATTCCGACATTACTCACAACTTACTGCCCTTACATTTGCCTTCTCTGGCATATACCGACATTACTCCTGACATACTGTCCTTACATTTGCCTTCTCTGGCATGTTACAACATTACTCCGCACTTACTGTCCTTATATTTGACTTCTGTGGCATATTCCGACACTACTCCTGACTTACTGTCTTTACATTTGCCTTCTCTGGCATGTTCCGGCTCTACTTCTGACTTACTTTTCTTGCATTTGCCTTCTCTAGCATATTACGAAACTACTACTGACTTACTGTCCTTACTTTTGGCTTCTCTGGCATATACTGACTCTACTCCTGACTAACTGTTTTTACATTTGCCTTCTCTAGCATATTATGACACTACTTCCGACTTCATGTCCCTAAATTTGCCTCCTCTGGCATATTCCAGCATTACTCCCGACTTACTGTCCTTACATTTGCCTTCTCTGGCATATTCCAACATTACTCCCAAATTACTGTTTTTACATTTGCCTTCTCTGGCATATTCCGACATTACTCCCAATTTATTGTTTTTACATTTGCCTTCTTTGGCATATTATGACACTACTCACGACTTATAGTCCTGCCCTATTATGTAATTTAAAATGGTGCACAACCCATTTCACTAATACTATTATATTTTGACAGCCTGACATCTTGCCTTCTAAGTCACTCTCTTTAACAAATGCTATAAGCAATAAAATTTGACTTTGCTCTTATTCAAACTACAATAGCTGATATCCATTATTTTCACACATGGTCCTATCAACTCCTTACATCTGTCGTTATTTCTATCTTTTGTTCAATGTCGTTGGTGTTGTTCAGTATCTGTCCATGAACAACTGTGAAACACATAAAGGCCCAGTTTAGTAATGTCATTTTGTGGACAAACTAAGTAGTGCAAAAAATAAAATAAAAGTGCATACGTGAGCTTTTGCAATGTAGTCTCTTAGCATTTCGTAACTCTTTGATTTGGCGGCTAATTTGTTTTTATTTGTAAAACCTTGTTTGTACATTTTAGCACAATTTGCGCATCCCCCAGTGAGGGGTAGGTTTAGGGTTGTGATTTTGTGACATGCCTCCTTTTTAAAAATGGTATGTTTTTGTGAATTATCTCATACGAATTTGTACAAATTAGCCACTTTTCTTGTTTCCTTGTGAGGTTGGGCTGGCTTTTTATAAACATTTCATAAATATATTTTATAAACATTTCTTTAAATCTTAGGTAGAGGTTAGGTAGAGTTAGATCAATGCTAAATTACTTTATTTCAATCATTTAATTGTATATTTGTTTCATTTGTTGATGTTTCACGTCATCAGTCTTCATGTGGAGGAGGAAAGGTGAATATAAATGAAGTGTTTAGTAGTAGTAGTTTTTTTCTTATAAGTTTAGAATAAATTTCAGCATCTATCTAAATTCGTTTGTCCTCTTGCGCTCAGGTTGCATCACCTTATGGAGGGAAAGCATCTGATAACTATGTATGCAGTGCTTATCTTTCTGTCGTTGTGTTAACGTTGTATAGTTTTATATTAGAGCCAGTTTATATTATATTAAACTTGCTGTTAGCATTAGCACGATTAGCATTTTAGCTACACTGTGTTTAAATATACTTTTGTCTGATTTCCCTTATGCATTCGTGTTATGGTACAGGTCTCTGAGGTAAGATGGGATAAAAGAAATTTAAATATACATTATTTTTTAAATCGTTGAAAGAGGTAAAGTAACAGAAATAGTGGTAGTTTCTTATTAACATTTTTTATTATTGTTTGACAGTTGCGAAGCTCATTTAAACAAGCATTTGGGAAGAAAAAATCTCCAAAATCTGCATCCTCTCACTCGGACATTGAAGAAATGACTGATTCTTCTCTGCCATCTTCCCCCAAACTCCCCTATAATGGCTCGACAGCTTCCTCTCCAATGATACGCAACTCCAACTCGAATTCCCTGTAAGTATCTTAAATTATTATTGTAAAATATTACTATCTATTATTAATTTTAGCAGTTTGCATTCTTTGTTCTTATAATAATAACAATTTTATTTGTAATTATTTGTGTTGGTGTTATATTTTTATTTGTAATTTTTATTATTGCTATTATTATTATTATTATTATTATTATTATTATTATTATTATTATTATTTTATTTTATTATAGGTCTTCATATAATATTAGCAATAGTAGTAGTTGTATAGATTTATTTGTGATCTATTTTTTATTTTGTAATTATGAGAACAATAAAAACATTATTATTATTATTATTATTATTATTATTATTTTTATTACCATTATCATGATGCATAATGTCAGCTACCTGTAATCAACATACTACAAAAATATTAAGACAATTAATAAATGTTTTAACAGCAGTAAAAGTTATTTAATAATAATAATAATAATAATAATAATAATAAAGTATAATAATAATAATAATCATTTGTGTTCCACCCATTTTGCTTTTAGTACCACACATGTTTAACCAGGATGTGTTTGAGTTATTCTGGAAACTTCTTAAACCTCATTTTGGATGGAGGAAGGAATTATAACAGACAAGCACCATTTGCATTGAGATTTAGTCTAGGTTATGTTTTTGGAAAATACTACCAATTTCATAAATGAAAACATTACTCAGCACAATGTCTCTATTGGGTAGCTCTCAATTTAATGCCACTGTTGGATGTAACACTTTATAACTGTCCAAACTCAGACTTTCATGGATGATATAAAATATATATAAATATATATGTGTATGTTCATAGTCCTCAACTGTCCTCCCTGCCTGCACATGGGCCTGTCTGGGGCTGTAGCAGCACGTCCATGAGGTCTGCCTCTCTGGCACGGTAAAAGAGAATGGCACAAAGCATATTAATGTTTCTCAATCTGTGATGATCACTGCCAAGAGCAGATGTTCAACCAATGACTCCTAGATCTGCCTTTCAGCACTTACTCATCCTGGGCAATTAACAGTTGTAAAACAGTGTGTGCCCTGATTTATAAATATTTAAAGCAATTCTGTGAATGATGGTATTCATGCACTGCTTGCATAGGTTTTCATTAGAATATTCACTGTTTACGATGAACATGATCTAATGGTTTAATCCCCGTCCCCAAAAATATCAGTGATCTATTTTTAATAAAACTTAATTGTTTTTACTAACTTTTACTTAATTTGTTATTACTTTAAGAGTAATTTTTTTTTATTTAAGTTTTTTCTGTCGTTTTAATTTATTTGTGTATTTTTTTAAAGTTCTGAAAACGTGGCTCTATATAAATTTCTGGAGATCACGAATTATGAAGCCAGTAGTACGTATGGCTGCAGTTCGTCTTTCAAACAAACACTACGGGGGCGGTATGATGCCTTCCTTTTGGTGCTTACCAGCTGACTGCTTGCCTACATATGGACAGCTTTCCCCGTTATCAGTTTGTTCTGTAGCTTGCTATGTATGGCAAGTCCAGTGAAGAACGGTTCCAGAAAGAATGTAGGACAAAAACAGAAGCCAAAAAAAAAAAAAACAAGTAAATAACAGGGTGAGAATGTGGTAAAATCTGAAAACGTAAAGAAAAATCAGCTGCGAGCTTTTCTTTTTAAAACACTATTGGTTGGGTTTAGGGAAGGAAGAGAGTGGGTCAGTCGACAGCAGCCACTGGTGGATTTATGCAAGAAGAGTAGGCGCAAATGGCACTCGCGAGAGAAATGTGAGATGTAAAAAAGTGTACACAGCGGCATCTGGTGGATTTGCAAAAACTGTAAAAAAACGTAGCTCCTGGGACATATTTGGGGCTCTCCAGAAATGTATATAGCATTACGTTTTCAAAATGAGCTTGGGTTGGTATTTTTGGTTTGTTTGTTTGTTTTTCTTTTTACAAATGCATTTCAAATGTTTTTATAATTTTATGCTTTTCATGATTTGTTTTATTTTGAATGTTTTTATTTTTTTTTTACAAGTGCATGAATTTCTTTTATTTGTTTTTCATTCGTTTGTCTTTTTTATTTCATTTTATATTTCTAAATTTGCTTCAGCATTGGATTTAAAAATATATTTTATTTTTTTATTTTTTCTGTTTGTGTATACTTTTGCATTTTAAATTAGTCTTTTTGTTGTCCATTTGTTTTCATTTATTTTTATTTGTTTGTTTTTAATATTGTAGTGATGTTTCACTTTATTTTGGTTGTTTCTGATTTGTTTACCAACGCTTTTCATAGTCTTGGTTTTCATTCTTTTTATGTTTGTTTTGTTTAGGTTTTATTTGTTGCGTCTACTAGTGCATTTCAAAGTAGTCTTTGTTGTTTTTATTTACACATTTGTTTTATGTTTTTGCTTTTCATTTATTTTGATTAACTAACACACTTCAAAGTAGTCCCAATTCTTTGATTCTTTGTTTGATTCGTGGTGTTCTAAAGAAAATTGTTTTTGTTTGACTAATGCTTTTCAATATAGTCTTCTTTGTTTTTGTATTTCATGATTTATATATGCTTGTCGCAGGATTTCTGAATGCATGGACAGCGATGCAGAAACAGTCATGCAGTTGCGCAGTGAATTACGTGATAAAGAAATGAAGCTCACAGACATCAGGCTGGAAGCTCTCAGCTCTGCCCACCAACTGGACCAACTACGAGAATCCATGAACCGCATGCAAGTAAGCGTCTGCTTTAACAGGACATGTATAACAGGCTCATAGTACTTGCTTATAAGTTTCATATGAATATTCTTTGGTTGTGTCATTAAAATGTGTTTTATACACACAGATGATGTCATAAACTGTATTTCATTCACACAGATTGAGGTTGAAAGGCTAAAAGTGGAGAACGACCGATTAAAGCTGGAGAGCCGGGGCAGTGGAAGCAGAGCAGCCTCACAAATGTCCATCTCCCCTTCTTCTGTGGGCCTTTCCTCACAGCTCAGCCTCACAGAATCCACCAGCTTAGGTATAAAAGCACTTTTGACATGCTTTTTATAGTGTTTTTCTTTTTTCCATCATTCATAAAATGCTAAGAAAACCCAGAAATAAAATACATTTTTACAATTTTTGCATGGAATTAGATTTTGTATATAATCATGGACATTATAAAATGTATTAAAAATAAAATAAAACCTTTAGACTATCAGTGCTGCTGAATATGTATGTCTCAGCCCAGGAGAGAAAGCTCATTTTGAGAAAACAGCCTTTAAAAATATGTATTGCACTTGACAGCTGCAGACACAAACTGATGAGTGACAAAAGAAACACTTAAAGGTGAATTTTATATAATTTCATTAGATTAAACTGAATGTAAGAACATTTTATGAAAGCCTTCAAATTGACAGATGCAAGAAAAAGCTGTGATTTTTCTCTTTAGTGTCTCACATCAATGTTCTTTTGACTTTTAGATATGTTGCTTGAAGACAGTGGAGATGGAAGTTCATGGAAAGAGGGGCAACATGTAAAGGTTGTAGTCAGTCTGGAAAAAGATCCGGAGTGGAAAGAGGTACGACTGAAGATATTTTAGCAAAAAAAATATATATACCATTGATCCAGTTAGTTTTGCCTAATTTTATTTTATTTTGATTTTTTTGTTTCTGACAGGAGTGTAGACCTTCTCAGTTTTTGCTGGGCTGCATTGGTGTCAGTGGAAAAACCAAATGGGAAGTCCTTGATGGAGTGGTCAGACGCCTCTTTAAGGTATTTTTAAAAAATAATTTAGTAAAAAAATAATTTGCAAAGTTTCAGTAAAATATTGTATGCAAAACATACTTTGCGCAAGAACATACATTAAACATCTTTTTATTATAATTATTTTTAATACATAAAAATGGTGATGTTTATGCAAATACTGCCATTTTTAGGATTTATTTCAAATTCAAATGTGATCATAAGATCTTCTAAATCTTCATGCAACCTCCCAATTATAATGTTAGCTTGTCATCGTTTGCTTTGTTTTTTTGTTTTTTTTGTGAGGGCTTATTAAAACGATTTTATTTTTTCAATACTGCAGCCTGCCACCAGGCGGTCAACATAATTTGGCTTCACTGATCACAACCATATGTTAATAATGCACAAGGGTTAAAATAGGGTTAAAACAGAACTTTTCAATCTTTAATTGCTATTATCTTATTTTTCTTCTTTTATTTTCCAAATGTGACACAACAGCACAGTTTAGCATTGACAAGCTAAGTAGTGCAAAATCCGTTCGCAAGCATACTTAAAAAGACCAAAGTTTAATTTTTGCTTTATAGGAAATTTTATGAAACATTTCTGTTATTGGCACTCCAACAGGAATACATCATCTGTGTAGATCCTGTGACGCAGCTGGGTTTGAACACTGACACAGTGATGGAGTACAGCATTGGAGACATCCATCGCGCCAGTGATGCTGATACACCAGAGCTCCTGCCTTGCGGTTACCTTGTAGGAGAAAGTGACACTATCTCTGTCAGGCTGAAAGGTGACATTATTAGTCTTTAAAAAATAAAAAATAAAAATTGACTATTGCATGCATTAACACATGTTGCCTCATAATTCGAATCTTCTCTGTAGACTTGTCTGTGGACAGTGAGGACAGTTTAGCATTTGAGACGCTGATACCGAAGCCGGTTCTTCAGCGGTACATCTCTCAGCTGGAGGAGCACAGACGGATCATCTTTTCCGGGCCCTCAGGCACAGGGAAGAGCTTTCTGGCAAGCAGACTGGCAGAGTGCATGGTGCTAAGAGAGGGCAAGCAGTTGGATCATCAATCAATCGCCACTTTCAATGTGGATAACAAAACTACTAAGGTCAGTATAATAATGATAACATGGGAGGAAACTGTAACTTTTTGGGCTCAGTTTGATGTGATTGGAAAATATTTAAATGAATGTGACAAAATATTAATTGTGATTTAATTGCATCCAAAATAAGCGTTTGTATTTATATTATTTGCGTGTCTCTACTGTGCTAAATGAATATCTTTAATTTATTCATTCAATTATTTTCTTTTCGGTTTAGTTTCTTTATTAATCTTGGGTTGCCACAGCAGAATGAACCGCCAACTTATCCAGCATATGTTTTACACAGCAGATACCCTTCCAGCTGCAACCCATCACTGGGAAACATCCATACACACTTATTCACACACATACACTACAGACAATGTAGCCTACCCAATTCACCTATAGTGCATGTTTTTAGACTTGTTGGGGAAACCGGAGCACCCGGAAGAAACCCATGTGAACACGAGGAGAACATGCAAACTCCACACAGTAATGCCAACTGACCCAGCCGAGGCTCCGTGATGCCCTATTTAATTAATATCTTATGCAAATGATATATAAAAAATTAATATGTAAAAAAAAATTATGTATGTTAGTATTTATATGTGCATAATAAATATACACACAGTACATAAAATATGTAAATACAAACTTTTATTTTAAATGTGGTTATTAATGATTAATCAGCACTAATATAAAACCAGCCAGAAAGATTTATTGCTTAATAAACAGAAAATGTGTTTTTTTTTTCTCAAATCAAATGTTAAGTTGTTTTTTTAATGTGTTAATATTAATATGTTAAGGTTATCAAAAAGTTTATTAATGGAAAAGTATTTTTATTTCTTTTTATTTAAAAGTTTTACAACTATTTAGCTTAAAAACTGTGTTTAGTCTGGCAGTATATAAATCTGAAAGTTAGTTTTCAGTATGTGAGAAATATTGACCACTAACTTTCAGAAACAGCAGATAATCCCAAACACAGCATAGTCTATAATCATAAAGTGAGTTTGTAATAAAACCAGAATCAACATAGCTGTCAACCACATTAACCACTAAATAAACCACTAAATTTAGTAACTTTCAGAATTTACAAACCTTTTAAATTACTAACAAGTTAAAATCCTACTTAGTTTTATTTGTATAAAGTGTGAAAATGTTGTATGCTAGTTGAATGATTCAAAACACTTCAGTAAGTGGTACATTTGAAGAAGTGATGCTCAGAATGTGTTTTATTATAGGAGCTGAAACAATATTTGTCCAGCCTGGCGGATCAGTGTAAGAACATCGTAGAGTCTGCGGATGTTCCTGTGGTGCTCATACTGGACAACCTTCACCATGTCGCTTCACTGGCTGACATTTTCAACGGCCTACTTAACTGCAAGAGCCAGCACTGGTGAGAAACACATGTGCAATTGTTTGTCAGTATTTCCGATGGGGAAAATGCAGACTCTTAATGTCATACATATTCAATTGTGTTATTTTCTCACAGTCCTTACATCATTGGAACCATGAACCAAACCCCATCACCGACTCCGAATCTACAGCTTCATCATAATTTCAGGTATCATCTCATTTAGATTTCTTTGTGATGGTTTGTTAATGTTATTCATTAATTTACTATTTTTGCACACGTTTAGATTAAATGTATTACATATATAATTACAATATCATCTATACCTTAACATATATACATATATTATTAGTTAATCATTTTAAATAATACATTTATGTTAGTACATACATTAATTCATTGCATATGTAAATAAAAACAATATATAATTGTTGTTATTACTGGCATTATTGTATAGGTGTATTCACGCACATCATTCGTTAATTCATTTTTAGTCAAGGACATAATCATTACATTCAAATATACATTATCGTAAATAATTAAAATTATTTTATTTATGTAGCATATACAATTTAATTTTCTTTAATATAATTGAATATTTAAATAAGTTATATTTCAAAAGACATTTTTTAAATGTAATAAAGTTTATTATGTATTAGTCATATAGTTGTTATACCCGAAGTCTCCACAAGAGGGCAGTCAAGCATTTCTCAACTCATGCTATGCTTTTTAGATGGATTCTATGTGCCAATCACACTGAGCCGGTGAAAGGTTTTCTGGGTCGTTTCTTGCGCCGGAAGCTCCTAGAAACCGAGATCAACAGTCGTGTGAGGAACGGAGAGCTGGTTAAGATCATTGAGTGGATTCCCAGCGTTTGGCATCATCTCAACCGCTTTCTGGAAACACACAGCTCGTCTGATGTCACGATTGGTGGGTGACCTTCAGCCAGTCAAAATTTCTCCTTCTAGTTATAGTTTATATCAAGTACATGACTATATACTGAGACATTTTAAAACATATTTTGTCCACCACAGGGCCTCGGCTCTTTCTGTCCTGCCCAATGGATGTGGAAGGGTCCAGAGTGTGGTTCACTGACCTGTGGAACTACTCCATCATCCCCTACATGCTGGAGGCTGTCAGAGAAGGACTGCAGGTGAGACTGCCATCTGTCATAAACAACAATGAACCGTTATGTCATGGCCATACAGTCCAATTAAAGTCCAAATTATTAGTCCTGTGTATTTTTCTTTTCTTTCTTTAAATATTTCCCAAATGTTGTTTAACAGAGCAAGGATGTTTTACAGTATTCTCTAGAATATTTTTTTCTTCTGGAATTTTTTTTATTTCGGCTAGAATAAAAGCATTTTGTAATTTTTTTTTTTTTTTACAATTTTTAGGTCAAAATCATGACCATTTAAGCCAGGGATCACCAATCTCGTTCCTGGAGGGCCGGTGTCCCTGCAGGGTTTAGCTCCAACTTGCCTCAACACACCTGCCTGGATGTTTCAAGTATACCTAGTAAGACCTTGATTAGCTTGTTCAGGTGTGTTTGATTAGGGTTGGAGCTAAAATCTGCAGGACACCGGCTCTCCAGGAACAAGTTTGGTGACCACTGCTTTAAGCTGTATTTTCTTTTTCAATTGTCCATAGAACAAACCATCATTATACAATGACTTGCCTAATTACCCCAACTTGCCTAATTAAGCTAATTAACCTAGTTAAGCCTTTAAATGTCACTTTAAGCCTAATACTAGTATCTTAAAAAATATCTAGTAAAATATTCATTTATTAATTTTCTTTTCTGCTTAGTCCCTTTATTAATCTAGAGTGGTCACAGGGGAATGAACCGGCAACTTATCTAGAATGATGCCCGCCCAGCTTTACCCATCACTGGGAGCCTAATAAAATATTATGTACTGTAATTCTGGCAAACATAAAATAACTAAATCAGTTATTAAAACTATTATGGGATGAAAAAAACATTATTTCCATTTAACAGAACAAAAATATAACAGGAGGGTTAATAATTCAGGAATACTAATAATTCTGACTTCAACTCTATGTCCAGTCAACTGCTGGACTTCCTTTAGCTCACAAATCATCAGACATGCAGCAATACTTTTGAATCATTAAATTCTTTTTTGTTTTAAAACGCATATGTTTTGTTTTTGTTAAGCATGGCGTTAACACTACTCCACTATCAAAAAGTGAAAATGGTTTTGAAAACGCTAAAGAGGAAATTTTGAAAATGCTGAAGTTTTATTACGAGTTTGGCAATGTCGTAGTACCGTTTCAGTATGGATGGACTGAGATGCAAACTTTTGACAATGGTCATGTATCATGTGTTTTACTGTTAAGTGTGGATTTTTTGCGTTTTCTGAAACACAATAAAAATGCCAGTTTGGGCATTAGTGTAAACAGCACCTCATATGGTCAGACAGTAGCTGGGTTTTCATCCTGACATGAAGAAAAACATTCCTAGTGCACATTAGGTGCTTAAGTTGTAAGTTGTTAGAGCAGCTGACTGTAGTATTGGTTGACAGCTTGTGGGCGTAATGTTCACTACGTCAGAGTTTATTCAACAAATGTGTTTGCATCTCTCATTACTCTTTTTTTTTTAGTAATAAAAACTACCTCATACGAGTATAAAAACTTTTTTTTACGAATTACCGATTTACGATTTTTTATTCAAAATTTATAATGTCTGTCACATGTTTCTCATTCAATACTTCAAACACACAAAAACAAAGGGTACTGGAAACTCATCTATTGGTTTATCTTTTATAGATGGTTAACATCTTGGTTTTGGGGATGCAGCAGAGACTGTAGTAAACCATAATTTTTTAAAAGATGTGATTTGCCTAAACAGAGATTCAAAAGAATTGATCCTTTTGACAAACATTAAATATGCAAGAAGTTTCAAAAATACTTCACAGATCATCATACTTTAATGTTTTCTGAAGGATCATGTGATGATGAAAACTGGAGTAATGATGCTGAAAATTTAATTTATTCTATACTACATTTAATAAGTAAACAGAATTTGAAGTTAATCATAATGTAATGGCTAGTCTCTGCATGTCCCTCAATGCAGTTTTGGGATGTTAAAGCAAATGTGTGACTCTATGGCCTCTTGTTGTGCAGATGTATGGGCGAAAGGCATCATGGGAAGACCCAGCAAAGTGGGTGATGGAGAGCTTCCCCTGGGTGGCTAGTCCTCAGCAGCATGAATGGCATTCATTGCTGCGTCTGCGGCCGGAGGATGTGGGCTTTGATGGGTACACCATCTCTCAGGAGGGAAGCCCAGGCAAACAGCCTGCTCAGGGAAAACCAGAAGAAGACCCACTGGTAATGCGTCATGTTGCTTTGAATGATTTATAGACAATATTACTTTCAATGTATGTTAATATATAGTAATCATATAAAATACTTTTATTTTATAAAATAAAAATAGTTAAAAATGCTATGTATTATATAATATATAAACATGATGTAATATATTGAATAAAAGCACTCTTAAAGTGGATTCACTTTTTTTTTGGGACATTATATATGCATTTAATTAATAAACAAAAATGTTTATAAAGCTATTATCATTATATTTTACATCAATAATTGTATATGTTATATTCATTGATAATATTTCATATTATATTATTATCTGTTTCTATTGTTGCAAACATTATTAAATCTTTATTAATATTTAATACTTTTATGAATTTATATATGTATATTTTATACACCTAAATCTCAGAGGTTTTTGTGTAAATGTATATGATATAGCATAAAAATGTGAAATACTTTAGATAATAAATATTATTTAATAATAAATGTTATAATATAGAGTAATATATTTTCATTTTTATTTAATTTACACCAAAATCTCTGATATTTAAATAAACATCTAAAAATGTTATATATGTATAGCCTATGTATTATTTTATGAAGAGCATCTGATTCTTATCGTTGATGTATGCATGTACAGTTAAAGTCAGAATTATTAGCCCCCCTTTGATTTTTTTCTTCGTTTTTAAATATTTCCCAAATGATGTTTAACAGAGCAAGGAAATTTTCACAGTATGTCTGATAATATTTTTCTTCTAGAGAAAGTCTTACTTGTTTTATTTTGGCTAGAATAAAAGCAGTTTAAATAAAAAAAAACATTTTAAGGTCAAAATTATTAGCCCCTTTAAGCTTTATTTTTTCTGATAGTCTACAGAACAAACCATCGTTATACAATAACTTGCCTAATTACCCAAACCTGCCTACTTAACCAAATTAATCAAGTTAAGCCTTTAAATGTCACTTTAAGCTGTATGTAATCTTGAAAAATATCTAGTAAAATATTATTTACTGTAATCATGGTAAAGATAAAAGAAAACAGTTATTAGAAATGAATTATTAAAACTATCATGTGTAGAAATTTGTTAAATCTACTCTCCGTTAAACAGAAATTGGGGGAAAAATAAACAGGGGCTAATAATTCTGACTTTAACTGTTAATATGTATGTAAAATAAATTTAAAAATAATAATATTCTTAAATTTTCTTAAATTTTATATTTATTTTATAATTTAATTTTAATATCTTCTTAAATATAGTTAACGTTCTTAAAATATTAGTTAACGTTCTAAGCGTTTCCAGTCGGTTGTGTAATAATATGTTCTTGTATCTTCACAGATGAACATGTTACTGAGACTAAAGGAGACGGCGCACTGTGCAGGAACAGAGAGCTACGACAGCGACTCCACCAACAACAGCCACCAAGATGACATGATCGACTCCTCATTAGAGTCTTCACTGTGAAAACATTTAAAAACACACTTCTGTGTGAAACTACGGGGTGCTGGAAACCCTGAAAAAAAACTCTTATTAAACATCACACCAAATCAAAGAAAACCGTTTTGAAGAGCGTCATTTCAGCAAACGGACCACAGATGGCGCTAAAAGGGTGTTCAATGTGGAGAAAAACGGACCATCTGAACACTCATGAAGTCAGGTATATTTCAGTCATATTAAACATCATAAATATGTCATGCTCAGTGATTTTAATGCACTAGTGAGCTTTTTTTGGTGCTTGATAAAAAAAAGCCTTACAACTTTTGATATAAGTTGAGGTAGCCCAGCAAACATTTTTAGTTTTTAAAATATGTCCAATAGATGTCTTATAGACGTCTAAACATAGTCATATTAGCTAAAACAAGCTAATTTTGAGCTGTCAGTGAAAATTTAATAGACGTCTAAGATTAGGCCAAAACTAGACTATCGTCATCAAATTAACAAAAATAAATGACCACACATCTAAAGTCTGTCTAATCTATTTGACGACTGGTCTAGTTTTGGGCTATTCTTAGACTACTATTCGATTTTCACTGACAGCCCAAGTTTAGCCTTGTTTTAGCCAAGCTGTCTACTTAAGATGTCTGTTAGACAGTCTGTTAGTTGTTTGCTGGGTGGCTTGTGTCTTAAAGATGTGCAAGTTTCTACGAAACAATTAATGCAAGAACATTATAGCCTTTGAAGTGTGCACTATCCATGGGACCTAACAGAGAAATAAAGTATAATGTGAACTATAATAAAAAAAAACAAATAAAATATGTTTGGAAATATATTTAAGCTTCGATTTGTGCCAGGAGTAAATGTTGTGCCTCTTTAGTAATTTCTATGCAATACAGAACTAGAAAGTCATCATGGCTAAAATATAAGTCGACTGGTTCTTAACAGAAATCCATCATGATTGCATTTCAGTTTAGTAATTCTGCTTACTTTTAGATGCACGATTGGTCACATCCTTCCCCCCAAATATTTTTACAAGGACAACTTCATCCTATATTTATGTGTATGTGAGTCTTCTTTGTTGAGTGTAAGTGTGTTTGTCTAAAGTATTTGTTGAAGGGAGAAAGAAGTTTTGTGTGTGTATTATTAAGGTTTATAAATAAGATCTCAGCAGGTAGCCTATACATTCATTAAAAAAGTCTGGCACATGGATGTGTGTGTTGTGTTTTCACTGTATTTGAATCAGCTTGTCTAGTGGCAAACATTAGCATGAAGTTCATCAAATGGTTTACTCAGAGTTTATTAATTCAAAGAGCGCATTTCGTTCACCTAAAAATCTTTTATTTATTTCTGCTGCTTTTGAACACCTCCTGTAGTATTTCTTTTCATTTTGTTTTCTTGTAAGATCCTGCCAGGTATTCATGCTGTTCTTTAAGTACTTTAAACACATCTACATGTGACATTTGTGTGAAAATGAACTAAGTTTCAGAGAAAATAGTCCACTTTCCCATTAATTTCTGATCAATTTTGGACTGAATTCTGTGTATATTTTCAGGTGTACTATATTTTTGTAAATATTCGACTCATATTTTAGATGTTTGTGTAGTCTAAGAAAGTGATTTTATGTGAAGTTGTTAATATTTGATGATGTTTTTCATTGTAAACTTTGGTCAATAAATGTGATGCCCAACAGTTATTTTCCAGTGTTTCTTCAGAGTCTTTTCCAGAGTTGTCCAGAGTTTTTAAACAAGAAAACTGTTTAAATGATTTTAATCTTTTTTTTGTCTTTTCATAGTTTGTAAATGGGATTGGTAAAACTTTCTTAAGACATTAAAATGCAAATTATGCTTGCAAGTAAATAAAAGTTTATGATTTCAACTTGGATAAAATCATATGTAGGCTTTATGGATGTCTTTATTACAAAAAAAAAACAGGGTTCCTGTACTTAACCATCTAGTTTAATCATGCTATTTTTAATAAAAACTGATAAAATGTTACATTTCAACACGGACAAACACAATCATAAACATTTTGGTATTTTGCTTTGGATTTTTAATTTGTAAAAATATTTTTTTCCACACATATACACTTTTTACAACAAACATCAGAACACATAATAATATAAAATTTTAAGTTAGAAATGTGCATCTACGTTTTTAAGATTATAGACAAGATATTCCAAAACATTAAGAAAGATTATAAAAATACAATTCCATACAAAATATTCATACAAATCACTATACAAGCTGCTAAAAACGCAGCGGTTATTCTCTCTTCAACTGAAAGGTGTCCTATAAAACAACCGTGCCAAACAGAAGCACCACGTTTTCTTCAGTTTTGTGCAAGTCAATAGAAATTACAGAGTTTATTTAATGACTATGACACGGTTATTTCCTCGTCTTCTGATTCTGAGAAGTCTGAGTGCTTGCTGGAGATCGAGGGCGACTTGAAGTGTAAATCTGCAGTGAACTCGTGATCACCGCGCGATTGGCAGAAAGGCGCGCGCGGGCTTTCTCTGAGAACCGCCTCATGTTCAAACCTTTTTCCGACGTCGCTCAGATCTGGGTTAGGGTTCATTTTCGTCGGTAAAGTTTGTTCCCTGCAGCCGCCAGACGACAGAAGTTCTCTTTCTTTGGAATTTCGCCATTTCATCCTTCGGTTTTGGAACCAAATTTTTACCTTGAAAGAAAGAGTTGGCAAAAACATGAGCACACGTGTGTTTACCTCAGAAAAAGGTACGGTACCAAAAATATGTGGACAAAATCAACTTACCTGAGAATCTTTAAGACCAAGTTTCGTCGCCAGTTTCTTTCTGTCCGGCTTGCTGATGTATTTCTGTTTTTGAAACATCTTTTCCAGCGCTTTACGCTGTACGTCAGAAAAAACTGCCCGTCGAAGCATTCCTCTCCTCGGCTTCCCTCGTGCTGTGAGTGGCCAAGCAAAAGTTCCGGGAATTGGAACTGCTGATGACGATGCTATAAAAAAAATAACCCAAATATATGAGTCTATGTTAAGCACATATTATAACATTTTAAATATCGGTCCTTTATAGAAACTTTATGAAAGTTTGGTACTAAAGTTAAGCTAATGTTTTTAAACCAGTCCATTTTAGTGATACGAAACGAGGAAGCTAATTAGCACATTGCTTGGTTCCCAAAAGCATTGGTATGGTAACAAGGGCGAGCAGTCATTCAGAGCGCTCCAGTGAAAGATAGAGGTGCTAATGAAGCGTGGACGGTAATTGTGTAGTAATGAACTGACTGAAAAAGGCTTAGGACAGGCCACTAAAGCCATATATTACGGCCACAAAAGAGATTTACACTTAAAAACTAAACACAACGGCATGGCAGGGACATTTTGAGAATACTGATGGCGGGGGACTATGTTTGCCCCCAAATATTTTCATTAAATGGACACGAAAAGCCATTCATACTGCTCAAGTTGTTTTGTTGACGTATTCACAGCGCGGTGAAAAGACTCAGTCTATTATCGTTGGCCTGAATGAGTGCACGATCCACAAGGCTATTTGTAGCCCGCATTCATTGGAGTGATGGACATGAAGCTTAACGCAAAATAGACCCGGTTTTATTGGTTTTATCTGAGGTTTATGTAATAGATTTAGCGTTTATTTAACTGTGGTTGTCAAAGTCACGGAGTACCCTAAATTATATATAACTTAAGCCTATTTTTCTACTTAAGCTACCTAATTAGAGCAACTTACACAATGTTAAGCACTTTTCATGCTTCTACATGAGACCCAAGTTTTGCTTGGACGTCCTGTGAAGACTCCCCACACTCTATGTGGTCTTGTGAGAATATTGAAACACTGAATAGAAGCTAATAGGGGAATTAGTCCATGACTGGTAAATGCCTATCAGCTGCATGCTTAAGTCAACGACCGGTCTGTGTGTGGCTGCCCAGAGGGAGCTGACCAATTGGTCATGGTGCTGAAAGCATTGTTGCCAATCAGTAACTAAGTACACTGGCTCGGTGGGAAAAAGGCAGCAATGAAGAGACGCCAACAGTTTGCTTGTGAGAGTGGACCCGCCTTAAATTGGGACCATGACAATTCCGGCTAATTTGTGGATTAGGGGAAGCGGTGCAAAATGTCAGCAGTCACTGCGTTTGCTAAATAGGGCATCAAATTAGCGAGACTGATTCCACAATGTCCTACAAATTCCAGCAATGCAAGCAGATTCTGAAGGCCCATCAGTTTGACCGAATTAAGAAATGACAGCGATTTTTCTTTCTTTAAATGTCTATTGACCCACCTGGGAAATATGATGCTCTGATGAATGGATGGAATGATCCGTCAAAACAAGGGAAAGGAAATGTTTTTGCATTCATTCCTTGCACGGGAGGTGGTGGTGAAGCTATGAGACAAAATAAAGTGGACTACAGTCAAATGAAATGTACAAATTAAATATGACAAAGCGTCTTAGATTTAAGCAAACACTCTTTGACATTAACAAGTTTTTTATATATACAAAAACCCATACCATTTCGTGTTGTTGACGCGAGAATCGCATTCACTCCAAACTTCAGGTAATTTGGATCGTTGGAAATTGATGTTTGCGGGGAGCTTGATCTTTTTGCCAAAGAAGTAGACATGGCGACGTGGACTGCGGAGGAGGTAGTGTTCAAAGTTGTGACACCTGTTGCTGGAGGAGATGCACTTGGCGACGGGATGCTTCTGTGCATGAAGGCTGCAGGTCTGCTGATCCGCAACAGGTCCTCCACAAGGAAACTCGAGTGCGTGGTGAACGCCGATTGTAACGCTGGAGGCAAGGAAAGAGCCGACGAGGGCCGCAGAAAGCTCGGATACATGGCAGGTGGCGCAATAACACTTGGCAACATCATTGCACCGTTTTCTAGAAATTGACAGCGAGGAAATCACTCTCTCACTGCAGAGACTTGCGTAGATTAGGGTCCAAGAGGGCAGAATGAAGGAGCTCTTGGCCGTCCCTCTCTCTTCCAGGGGTTTTATAGTGGACCGCTGGAGAAGCCTTTTCATGGGTGACAGCTCTAACAATGAAGTTCAACCAAATTCTCCACGTGAGTTCCGTTTACTCTAGAGGCGGCGCGTCCTGATTGGATATAAGAAATTCGGATTGGATTAGACGCCACAAACAAACCGCAGACAACGGCCTTTACGAATAAAAGCAGTGTAGCTTTATAGTTAATTATCATAATGCCGTTACAATGATTGCGATACATAAATAATTAATGTAGGCATTGCCTGAAACCATATAAAATTCACATTTAACTCTCAATAAAATAAACAATACAGGAAACACAGGGTAAAAAAAACAGACCTAATTAAAAAAAACATAATTTTAATATTTTTATTTGTAAGTAAAACAGTGCCAAAATTATTGCATGCTAAGTTAATTATTCTTTAATTATTCAGTGTATTGTTTAATTGTAGTATTGTTTAAAAACATTAATTAAAAGTCAACAGTAGTATATAGCCTAATGCTTCGAACTTTTAAAAATAGAAGATAAATCTTAATTGGCATCAGTAGTTCCACTTAAAAAAACATTTTGAATACTTCGTTGTAAACTTTCTGCTTAGATTTTTAGTGAGAAATGTTTTTTTTTTTTTTAAGAATATTAGGCACAATATTCTTTAGAGAGTTGCAGTTGGTTGGATAACAAAAATATTCCATGACATCTTTTTTTTCAGTATTTCTTTTTGTGTGTTCAAAAAAAACTCGTACGGTTTTGAATGTAGAGCAAATAATGATGGAAATTTATATCTTTGGTTGCGAACTTTTAATTAGATTTTTTAAATAGTAGATTTTTTTTAATATTTAGTATTTAAATATTAGAAAGATAGATAGATAGATAGATAGATAGATAGATAGATAGATAGATAGATAGATAGATAGATAGATAGATAGATAGATAGATAGATAGATGCCATGGTTGACTGAATTAGGCTTCATAGGTCACACACATTTTTGTCTATTGAGTTACAGAGAGTAAAAAAGGGGTATTTCAATGTGTGAGGAGCTGGGTCAGAGAACATGCTGCGCCACACGTGGATAAGGTTTAATGTGCTATGGCAAAGCACAACCTTTCAAGTTTTGCTGCTGAACCGCAGGGGGAAAATGGCCAACGCCTACTGATAAAATATATTATGAAACAAGAAAAAGTGCGAACAAAAGGATTTCTCCTAGGAGGCTTTTATCAGGATAGACGCGCTCTTCTGTCAGATGCGGCAAAAGAGGTGAATCCCGAGGCCTGTGGGCTAAGACCTGTGACTAATTGCGTTTGACCACTGCTCTGTCAGGATTTGTCCCACTAACCATTCATTTTCTTACAGCTACCTTCACATTTATCTCCGAGGAGTCAACTCGTGCGCTTTGATTTGGACAGGAAAAAAGACGAGGGGAAGACATAGTCCGCGTGAGCCCTGAGCGATGACACGGCGAGTAAATCTCCATGAAATTATGCGCCAGGCGTTGCTCTTTAGCACAAATGGATTGTAATACCGAGTCTTTAGACAATATTTCAGAACTTTTTTTTAAAACGGGATCAGCTCGACAGCATTCTTAGTCTTTCTTAAGTCTTTGCAACAATCCTAGTTAAAGCAGAGAGGTCTTTGTGGGGGAGACATCGGTAGGGTGGCATTGCGCAAGAAATTTGGGACAGCTGTTTCGGCGCAGTACGTTGCAAGTTTACTGTAGATGT